GTCAAAGGACTCTATATGCTGTGAACTCATATGTTGAGTTCTTTATGACTACTTTATGATCTGTGAAGTAGCAATGCTGTCTCGATCATCTCAGCCATTGCTTGAGGATGGGATTTCATAGTCTTCAGTTCAGAAAAAGGATGACCTTTCGTGAACCCAATAACATTGCAGTGACTGGCTTAGCTGTCTATTTGTTTACAAGAATGTATACATTATGTTGGCTGATGTGATGTATGTAGTAAAGAATGGCTGTAAGACATCAACAGAAATTTCCATTTGACATAAACAAATGAACACTTCTTTGAAGTAAACGTAGGAAGAAAATTCAGTTTAGTATCTAAAGGAAGCTGATTGGTGCTGATCAGCAGGTTTAAAAAAAAATATTCATTCAAGAGATTGTGACATTTAGAATCAACTCAGTCTTGTTGTTTGCATACATGTTAATATATTGTTGACGGTGCACAAAATATGATGTCTCAGCATTCTTTCAAACATTCATATAAGAAAACTAACCGATGCTGCAAATGTAAAGTTTGACTGACTTTAATTCACTTCACATGATTTCATTTGTATCAAATTCTCTGATTAAATACAAATCATCTCCAGCCCATTACCTCAGTTCAGAGTGATATGATATTGAAATATATATGCATTTGCTGACTCGATATTTTCAAGTTGTTTAACAGGATACAGCTGGAAAACGGCTTCACAGCATTATGTTATTTACTTTCAACCTACACTGCAGCAGAATTGACTTTCTAGTGACATCAGTGTCAGCGTAAAAACAGGCTCACCTGTTCTCCCCATTTAAACTTTGATAAAGTGACTGGAAACACTTCCTCGGTGAGTCAGTGTCTGCCAGGCTACCAGGAGATGATGCTGAATTGAAGCAGGGTGAGATTTGTGGCTGGTGTGGGAGGGTGATGTTAGCTCATGTGCAGATAGATGCACTTGCAGGGAAGGGGGGCTATGTAAGCAGATCAGACGTTAGATAGTAACTTGTGTGAGTGGGAGCGCAAGTACATGTGCACAGCAGAGGGATGTCGAAGTCATGTGGGTGCATGATTGTAGGATGAGGGTGGATGCATTTTGTAAGGTTGGGGGTGGGGTGTGTGTGAAAGAGAATGATGGTGTAGCTGCATGTTATGAGGAATGGTATACCATATGAAAATGCATGGACATTTGAGGGGCACGTGTAAGTAAACATACCTTAGCTACATGGAAATGTTTAAATGAGGTGAGGTGAGGTGAAATTGGGTTTAACGTTGTGCTTGAGAATATTTCGCTCATATGACGACGGACATGCGTGTGTATGTGTATGTGCGGCTGCTTGTACTAGCCCAGACTGAAGCTGGTTTTATAGTGCTAGCCGACTGAGATACCATGACACAGGGGGGGGTTCAACACACACACACACACCCCTCTGGATCTGCCAATGAAGGATATTTGTACTTTATGTAGTTAATTGAGAGGGAGAAACCTGTCTGTCTACCTTTGTGTGTGGTGGGATTGATATCCATGCTTCAGAGCATCTCTACCTGTGTCTGTGGTTTAACAAGGAGAGATAGAAGGAAGTGGGGGGAGGGGTTGCTGTACTTGCCTGTCAGCTCGCACACCAGGGGTTGGGAGGAGGCACATGAGTAATACTTAAATGGAACAGACTATCCATGTCAGTTGTCTAGCATTTCAACTTCGTCAGCATATATTGCCTCATTTAATGTGTGTAGGTGGCGGAAATTAACTTTTAACATCTATACACAGCCTTCTGTATTGTTTATTCTAGGGAAAACATATTTACACACTTCGTGGGAAAAGGGGGTATATCGTCCTTGGTTTGCTTAGCAGCCATTCGGGATTTTTACAGAGTTGAGTTTCAGATTTATGTGTCACTAATTAATTATTCATGTTGCATAACCTCAAAACTATTGTCACTCGAAGAGTTTCCGCAAATCTACTCTAGATGGTTGATAGTTCGATCCCTGTTAACATGACAAGTAACATCAATAAGATGTTACTGTTGGATGTTGTGCGTGGTACTCGTACTTACCTGAGTAAGTGGTAAGACCTAGTACTGATCAGCTTAGGAGCGAGTGATGGTACCATGTTGAACTATGGGTACACAAAATTACACCATTGTAAACTAATTCAGTCTTTGAATAGGCTCTTTTTATCGTTAACTTAAATAAGTCCTCTTGTAACATTGCAATTTTAATCAGAACAGTTTGGAATAATGACAGTACTTATGAAAAAAAAAAATGAAAAGCAGCTGAGATTTGATTTCTTTCCAAAATTTGAATGTTTGCATTGTATGAATTATTAAAACTATTCAAACTGCATATGATATGGCATATATAAATAAGTAAAAGTAATAGATCTTTGTCTGCCACATCATAATAAACATTTAAATAACAGGGCTCTAGATAAGGGCCGTATCGGCGTATGTATGGATAAAAAATATGCACGATCCAGTAGGAAATAATTTAGAAAACGTCGTAGATACGCACCATGGCAATGGTGTACGGTCTTAGAATCATTTACAGACGTATTTATCTGAAAAAGTAGTGTTTTATTGTTTATTGACCTGTTTACACAAGACTAGCAATGTTGTGGTGCATATATGAAACAAAACACAAGATTACTGATACGCCATTAAATTCCATCCACTACTCTAAATGTACTCTTAAGGTTTTCAAGTACTCCTATATTGAAAAAAATAGGGAGTACGTACTCCTGATGTTGAAAATGATCTGGAGCCCTGAATAAGCATGTTCTTTGAATTTGAAACAATAGAAGCGACTGTGCCCCTGATGAGAGTATGTACCCACCTTCATACCGTGTGTGTGTCATCATTTCCTATCTAACAGAGCTATTTGCAATTTCAATTTAAAAATAGCTTTAGATTGTAGTTTTTGTCTTATGTTAAACATAGAACCATACAGTGGAATGCTGTGGTCACGATTTCTTGTGCCAACCTTTGTGTTGGTATTAATGGGAGGTTATGCTATGTAGGCCGATGAGTAAGAGGTTTTGTCCAGCTGTGTATTAGGCAGCTGTAACAAAAGGTTGAACAATGTAATGTAGGAGGATCTTATCCGTGGTGATTTCCTACTTACTACTGTATGTTCTGAGGGAAATGTCAAGGTGCCAAGACCATGCCAGGGTATGCTACCTTACGTTGTAATGCTGAAGTCATTATTGTGAATGAAAGTGTTCAAATGTCTATATTGTTTTAGTTCCTATACTTTAGCATAGGATTAGTATCCTTGCAATGCCAGTCACAGATTCAATTCAATCCCTTCTTGTGACAAGCAATAGCATGTAAACCCCATGGGGAATCGAGGTTAGAACTGATATCCAAGAACCGATGCTGGTCACTACCGGAGACAACAGGTGGTCCGACTCCGTGACTTGGTTGATGCTGTCATTGTACCCAGAGGACATGGGTCGTTCATAATATCACTGTGTTGTGTGGTCCAAACCTGATAATACCATTAACCTTTTCCCTTTTTACGCAACCCTTACTGTAATGCTGTAGCCCTAAATGAGTGAGTGAGTTTAGTTTTATGCCGAACCTAAATGAAGAAGTCAGGTTTACCACAGGTTTTGAATCTCCTCTCTCACATGTAGATCCTTGTTTCCCTATAAACATTAACACTAAGCGTTAGCCTACTGTCAGCTGTATACATGTATCTGTCAGCTTCTTCTTCCTCAATCACACAGTCTCTTCCTGAGAATGTGGATGTTGTATAAACCCCCTTCCTACATCCTCTTGGTCCTGTCAAACCTTGCCAGTCATAATAAGACACATTTACCCTCACAGATTTATTAACCAGCACGAGTGAACATATTGCACGTTTGCAAATAAATGATTTTCAGTCATTAATCTGTCTTGCACCTGAGACCCCTTCTGATACAATCAGTTAAACATGACTGTTTTGTACCCAACTTCTATAATCTGTGCACTCTAAACGTTATAATGCAGAAAACAGATTGTTAATGGGAAACACAGGAATCATGACATAAAGTTATTGATAATTCAAGCAGAATCAATGTAACATAATTTAACATTTGAAGATTTTTTTGTAAGTGACTGACTGAAATAGATAGTTAAAGAATTATATGTGGAGGAATTATGCTACACTGTCTAGCCCTCTGTTTGAGTGGTGATGTAGATGGTTGTAAAATTGAGGTGTCTCTGAGTTTTTAGGTCAATCATTAATTGACATAAAGTGGATTATCAATGCCTTGAATAATCTTTGTAAGGACTGCCAAATGGGTTGTGCATTGGCAGTTAATAGCGGATGAGTTGAAAGTTGTGAAACAAACTGAACACTTGAGACATATTTGTGCAGATGCTTACTGAACTCCTAAAACAACACAACTTCTTCTTTTTGAACGTAAGAGGCGACTAACTGGATCGGGTGGTCAGGCTCGCTGACTTGGTTGCCACATGTTATCAGTTCCCAATTGCACAGATCGATGCTCATGCTGTTGATAACTGGATTGTGTGGTCCAGACTCGATTATTTACAGACCGCCGCTATATAGCTGGAATATTGCTGAATGCGGGGTAAAACTAAACTCACTCACTCACTCACTTTTTGAAAATTTTCTAAAGAGTACATTTACATGAGGGGAGGTGGGGTAGCCTAGTGGTTAAAGCATTGGCTTGTCACGCCGAAGACCCGGGTTCGATTCCCCACATGGACACAATGTGTGAAGCCCATTTCTGGTGACCCCCGCCGTGATATTGCTGGAATATTGCTAAAAGTGGCGTAAACCTAAACTCAGTCAGTCAGACATTTACATGATTTGTGAAAACATTACACTTAAGACAGACATGACTTCTTTCACCCCGCCGATTACAAAAATATATATACATGTTCAAAGTTTTCTATATCTAATAAGTGGAGCACTGACTCCCTAACCCTAACTCTAACTGGATAGAGTGAATGTAGTATGTAATTGTCGACTAAAAATTTGGTATTTTGGTTGTTTCAGCAAAGAAGAAGAGGTGATGTAGATACCAAACCATGTGGAGCTGGCTGCGAGACTGGAGGAAACTGCAGATGTATAGGAGAAAAAGGCTCCAGGGTGAGTAGATCATTGACAGAAACATTCAGTCCTAAACAAGCCACCATCCGCTTTCTCGTTTTAAACCTAATTCTACTATTTTCATGAATACTATGCAGTAAAACTAGATCAAAATACCTTGTTGATGAAGCAGGTATTCCTTAATTTCCACCTATGATTCCACAATTTCAGAAATGCAAGTCCAAGGCTAGACTAAGGCTTAGTCTCTGAATATATATAATTTTGATAGTAACAAACAAGCCCATTTATATTGAAAAGGAGCCCTAGGGAGACCAGAGATTGCCTGAACCTGAGGAAATCTAGACTTGCTTTATTTAGGGCTTTAGTACTGCAGAGAGGCTTGGCAGTAGGGAAAATATTGTGGTTCAGGGACTGTGAGACAGACTAGTCCAAGGCCAAAGTCATAGCTTATTCTTGCCTTAAGTGCAGGGAATACCTGTTAAACAAATATTTCTTACTCTGGCCTTGAATTCATTATACGGTCTAGTACAACCTTTCTTCCAGCTAAGAGCACCAGTTAAGGGGTTACTGTATTAGAAATTTGAAGCAAAAGGCTTCAAGAGTTTTTTATTTTCAATACATGTGTGGAGATGGTATCTGGAACTTAATTGAACGTGGGAGGAATGAGAGGAAAAGCACAAATGTAAAGGAACATGATGGTAACGAGATATGTGCGTTGTTCCAAATGTCACACTGTTTACAATCATGAGAATCAAGTGACTTTTCTTGATCCCTGGTGAATAAGTTCATCTACGAGGGTTAGAAGTGTTGTAATAGAAAATAGTGTGGACAATTTATTATCAAGGGTACAAATTGGTCTGGCAATTGAAGGAAAACAAACAGTTTGCCAAAAAATATTGGTGCCTGGAATCACTTTAGGCACTTTTTAGAGAAGAAATGGCAAATTTCCTGGTGTGAGAGAAAGGGTTGTGACATTTCTGAGGAAAAATCTCTTCTTCATTGAGTTTTTTCTTAGTATCAAAATAAAAATGAACAAGAAATTGAAATAATCTTTTCTAGGTAGCTACTTTCGATGTAGGCCTATCTTTGATGTGGGCTATGATTAGCATACCATCCATAAAGGCTGATATCGAAACTTGATTTATGGGCACAAATTGCCAGGGTATGACCTATGAAACTATTGAGGGAACTACAGGATGGAGTGCATTTCAGCATGCATGTCATGTGAGATGAATGAGCGGGGCAGCTGCTTGGTAGATACACCCTCCCCTTTCCCTCAACTCCATGAGAGGGCAGGAACACCGGAATATTTCACAGTAATCTTCTACAGCGCTGCACAGAAAACTGCACCCACATCCCTTTATGAAACATCCTTAGAAATGACACCTGAATGTGGCCTGGTGTTTGGGACAGAGGTCTGAACGCACTTTAATATATTCATTTTGATTAATGTGTAGAACAACCCCCAAAATCATGAAAGCTGTAAATTTCAGAAGCTACGAGTCAACATAACACACCTGTTGTAAGTTATGTTAAAGCTGTGGAAATAGTGGTTCTAATATCAGCACAACAAATATTCACCATTATGATGGCAGAAATATTCATTTAGAGATACCCCTTTTGCAGACCAAAGAAACAGCCTCAGGGTATTTATGACACTAGCAAATTTCAACCCTCTCCCTTTTGCCACATCCCAGTGACCTTCTGAAAAGACAACATGAATTTGCTGCACAGTTTGTACATAGTGTCTTGTTAAAGGGATAAATTAATTCCCCTGCCCACATTTTACAGGATGCTTCATATTTTGGGTGGAGTAGCTGTTATAGCTCATGACATCAAAGGCCTGGATTTGATTCCCCAGATGGGTGCAATATGTAAAGTCCGTTTCTAGAGTCCATCATTAGGATCTTACTTTAATACGGATTTAAACAGCATGACACCATCTCACTCACTCACATTTCAGTTAACTGACGTTTCTGTTTGTCTTGAAACCAGGTGAACCATCCCTTGCCCTGAGAGATGCGGGCAGTAATTACCTAGAGGGAGCTAGCACAAAACAAACACAGTAATCTCCAAACATCAGCCCCCTCCCTAGCCCAGCCACATGACAGTGTTTAGGCAGGGATACCACACATCCTCACAGCAACAAATATAAATATTCCACTAATGGTGAGGAGGCCCGTGAATCAGACTGGTCAGAGTAGCTATACTAGAATATCCCAGTTTAAACCTTCAGGCGATGTCTGAACAGACAGATTCATACTCTCTTCAGATATTTCTGTGTCATGAGCTCATAAGTAACAGATTCCTTCTATTCCAGACAGTCGAAATTCCTTCTGAGTAATGCCCTCTTGTGACCTCTCAAGTTAAGTCATAGAAAAGTTGATTTGTGTCATACTTAGTTGTTGCTGAATAAAGAAATGGAGGCTCCAGTACTTGATGTGGTACTAATGGACTGGTTATCAGAGGCCCAGATAAGCTGCGTATCCGGGTAAAATACGCATAGAAAATGTCCAATTACGTATTGAAAAATAATTGTTGCGTACCAATTACGCATTTAAAATGTTAGATACGCAAAATGTTTAAAACAAATGCGTACGGAATATATTTATAAAAATTGCTTGCGTAATGAAAAAGACATGGATTGCTATCAAGTACTGTTAGTATAGGACTAGTGTTGTACTGTCAGTATAGGATGAGGGATTTTTTATGAAATCATTTCCATTATATTTAAGTTGGTTTTGATTAGGTATGACATAAGGTAGAACATACCTGCTTAGTAAACTTACTCAATGACATATTACTTAGGTGAGTAAAATGACTGAAATACGCACATATTTGAAAGCAGTGGGTAACGGAAAATGAAATACCCACTCAACATTCATAATACCCACTCCAAAAGAATACAGTGGGTACAGTACCCACATGAGCTAAATCTTATCTGGAGCTCTGGGTTATTGCAACACCCATTTTACGTGTCAAGTGAATTAATGTAGTAATTTTACTGAGATATCTGGACCTCTGCGCCATACTTCTCTCTGGGGAAATCAGCTCAGAATAAGTTGCCCAAAACTTCATGCTTGTCCAAATTGTTGGGCAGAAATTGGGATTGAGTCATCATGGTACACGAAACATTCATAGCGGTTGGACATTTGTAAGCCTATGATAAACTATGGAGTTGCGACAGGTTGTAACAGTACAAACGCTTTATGGATCTGGGCCCTGGCTATGATAGCAAATGATATGGTTGGAACATTGCTGACTATTGCCAAAAACACTTATGACCTCCCATCTCTCTTTGAATACACAATGCCATTTAGAAAGTGGTCAAATGTAACATGTTATATTTGGTATTACACTTTCTCAGTAAAGTACAGATTCTAGTACTTTGTTGGGTTGAATCCCATCCGGGATTTGAACCCACTCTTTCAGAGTAAGGCACCAAATCACAAAGTCAGCTGCCTAACCTGCTCATCCAACGCGACTAGAATCTGTACTTTACTGAGAAAGTGTAATCCCAAATATTACATATCTTACATTTAACCACTTTCTAAATGGCATTGTGTAATCATAGCTTTCAGCCGTGGGTGCCGGACCAATTTACACTTATCAAAGGGGTACACAAAGTCCGCAGTCTAGACTACCAGTTGTCCGACTTCAATTTTTGTGGAAGCTGCAGTGGCTGAGCTGGCTAGGCGGCTGACTTTGTGTGCAGGCAATTAGGTGCCTGACTCTGAGGGTGTGGGTTCGAATCCCGGATGGGACTCAACCCAAAAAGTACTAGAATCTGTACTTCACTGAGAAAGTGTAATCCCAAATATAACATATATTACATATCTCTCTTCCACACATGAAGGTATCAGGACCTGATCAGTGTGCTCTGATGCAAAATTATAGACAAGACCCTTTATAGACAAGATACTCCAATATTTCTCTAACATTTCCAATGTCATAAAACTGCAAGTGTACCATTGTTGCCAGGGTTTAAGAAGGTTGGAAATCACTGTGACGATCAACTGAAAGCCTGACTTGGCTTGTTGTATCTTGTTCAACTTCAAATGCTATGTAATAGCTCAGAGACTAGAAGCTGCTTATCATCAAATCTCCCTTCAACTATCTGCACTCACTACCATGCCAGAAACCAGCAGCTTATTTTCTTGTTTAACAGGGGAACTTAGACTGACTCTCTGGTTTAAAAAATGTATTCCCAGAGTTAGATATCTATCATAGATAAGATAAGATGTTTATTGCATAGCATTCCATGAAGGAAAAGTGGCAACATTCTATAAACTACAAATATAAACATATTGTTCCCTTTTTCCATGGATCACATTCTTTATTCAAATGCTTCTTGGAATTTATCCCTTGCCACTTGGTTGTGATGATCACAGATTGTTGCAGTGGTCTTTAACATTGTCAGTGTTTAGAGAATTGACGTGGAAAATACAATCCTTTGATTTGATTGATAAGCGATAAAACTGTGAACCAAATGAGCTTGAAGCGACATGATTCACCTCTATATCCAAAGGTTTACCAAATTGATATTTATGTTCTATGAATCATGCCAAGACATGATTAATCATTTGCCCATGTAACTTCCCAAAACACAAACATAATGCTTTGGTGGCCTATTCCAGAACTGAAGCATGTGTTTATCTCACACCCTGTTCCTGCCCTGATCCTCAATAAGCATTACCTCCTGACCAGACCTGTATGGCTGAAGTTGAGCACTTTACAGTCATGTCCAATTGCCCTTGTTTCTCTAAGCCACTGTCTATCTGGCATCAGATGCTTTGAAGATTTTCCCCATCATCAACTCTGCTGGTCCATCTCTGAGAAGTACAGTGTACAGCAGATCCACCTAAATAACCCACAACAGAAATAGAGATACAAAACAGCTGTTGAGTAACCTCTGTGGCTTAATCTGTCTTCATTAACATGATTAACATCAAATCAGTCTTGACTTGTAATTGTAATTCTATAGCACTGGGACTTGTACCGGGTCACCTGTCTGGTGATGGTTGAGTCTAATTTGGCCTGATGTTCATGAGTAAGCAGAAAACAGATTTTTGTGACATTCTTTAAAGACTGAATTTAAAAGATAAGCTACATGGGCTGACAAACCTTCCTGGCTAGTCTGTGTCACAGCCCTGTCTGCAATGCTAAAGCTCCAAATGAAGCAAATCTAGATTTGCTCAGGTTCTGAATCTCCCGTCTCACCAGATGTCCTTTTCAGTATAAAGTATGAGAAGACTATTTAATAAAATATAACTTCTTCCTCATTGTGGCCAGAGCAAGGTCCAATAGTCATGAAACTTGCAACTTTCACCCTTGGACATTCTCTGGTAAAGTTAATTAATTGTACAAGTCACTGAGATTAAATAAAAGTGACCTGGCTCTTTAATGGCATCAATGGTGAGACTAGTCATAGATACAGGAGAGGAATTAGTTGCTGTGTGATATGACTGATGGTATTTCCTTTGCTAACTCATACAGACCGGATATCGTCTTGCCATGTCTTGTTATAACCGCAGACAGGAAACACTGTACATTTATGCCCCTTCCTATTAGCTGGTGGTAGGCGGAGGAGGAAATAGCTTAGTATGATTTATGTCTATTGTTATTCTTGTATGTGTCAAAAATAACAATAGAATCTCTTTAATGACTTTACGTTGTTGCCAAAAGGAAATAAAGCTCTGTAATTAAGAATCAAAGCTTTGGGGAAAAAACGGTTTTGAGAATAGTTTATTGATGAAAACATTGGTGTGACTGAGTGACTTGCCTTTGCAAGTGTTATCATAGGTGGAAGGATATGCTCTACTTCTTGCCTGAACATGGCATCATCACTATTCGATAGTGAAAACTAAACACATGCTTAAGATATAATTTGAACTGTACAGTGGAAACTGCTTTCAAGCAGGCCGCCGTGATGTTGCTGGAATATTGCTAAAAGCGGCGTAAAACCAAACTCAGTCAGTCAGTTTCAAGCAGAACTTTTTGTGATTATGCAAATTTTCTCACTTTAATAACTGAGATGGACTAAACCAAGTAATATTTATGAGAGAGATTATCTTACTTTCTCATCCATTATCTCTTTGATGTTTTCAAGACACCAAGAATCTATCTCTGTGATATCTGTGTAGTATTTTGTCTTCCAGAACAGTTCAGTTTTATTAGTACATATGGTTTCTCAAGCATTTAGACTCCTGAACACTGAGGGGCATGCATATTTCCATTGAAATAATATATACATGCAGACATCATAGATGAACTACAAGAAGTGATATTGCAGGATCCTTATTGAAATATGAATTATGAAGACTTTGCCAAACTAACATTTCTCAATTGCATTGCAGGGTGCACCAGGAGCCATTGGTCCTTCTGGTCCACAAGGTAACCAAGGCTTCCCTGGACCCGAAGGCCTTCCTGGACCCAAGGGGATGAAGGGTGATATTGGTCCTAATGGACCACTTGGAGAAAAGGGAGCCAGGGTAAGCTGAGTCTTTCAGATTTAATGGTCTTGCAGGAAGCATTTAAGGTCATGGCATTATGGCAACAAAAATTTCAAAATTTGACTATATGCTACAACCTCTCATTTTCTAACCTTCCAGTTTCTCCATATATTTGTCTCTTACATACTTTTTCAAGAGAAACAATATTGCCAAAATACTATGACATTATAATTGGTGAAGAGAGGATATTAAATGACCTTCTGTGTAATACCATTTTTAGTTGATGATTTGGTATCCAACGAGTGAAAGCCATTGTGACAGAGGTATTAGCAGTGTGACGTCATAACTGTAAACCATTATGACGTCATGCATCTTGCGGTATTACACTAGTGTAATATTGCTGTAAAAACATTTGTTGACCTAATGTAATCTTTATTGAATAATTCTTGGAAAGGTTAAGAGGGTAGATTTATTTATTACTCGCCTGTGGAACATAGTGTAGTGCAATATTTTTACGGCAATATTACACTACACTATGTTCCACGGTCGAGTAATAAATAAATATTTCATCTTAACCTTTTTAAGAATTAATCAATAAAGATGGCATTAGGTCAACAAATTCAGTCTCATATAATTGCAGTTTTTATAGATGCTGAAGTGAATCAACGTTGTAAACACAGGACAATTTATGATATTGTGTCAATTAAATGAATAAATGCATGCATGACAAGACAAAAAGCAAAGTTCTATATTTATCAGTTATCTGGAACGAGTATATATATCCAAGACTCCTCCCACCAGTGTGGTGAGGAATAAGTCATCTGAAGGAGAGCTGAGTGCTGTTTTCAGACAGCCTGACAACCTCACTGACTACATGTCAGCATTCCATGGTAGATACCACTTCTCTGGAATCTTGTCCTTCTGTTACCATGGCAACCTCTGTACCCATTTGCCATTTGTAACATAGTTTGCAAGAAATGACACAACACAATTAAGACTTGTTAGCAAAACATGTGTGATACCCTGTCATTTCTTCTGCACCAGAGTGAACTTAATTCGCCTATTTCCACAATTGTTTCTATCCATGATCAAATTCGAACTTAGTAGTTTTTTGAAGCATTTCTTGTCTTAATCTGTGTAACATTTAAAGTGGTATAAGATGAAGTATTTTGTCATTCAATTTTGAATATCTTTACAATAGAAATCTTGAGGTAGGAATTTCATTTGCAGGAAAAGGGATTCCATGCATGAATGTCAAAATACATTTAAAAGTTTATTGTGTCTACAAGCAAATATTAAGGGACATCTGGCTCCAGAGAAGTAAATGTCAAAAGCATTTCAGCAATTGAATTTTATGATATCTACCATTATCATGGCTAAATGACACCCAACCATCTCTAGATTTGATGTTAATGTACTGTGTCTCAAAAGTGTATACATGACTGAAATGTAAATCCAGATTTTAATTTGATGTTATATACATTACAGTAATTTAAAACTAGGCCCTGAGTGTTTGGCAGAATCTGTTCCCAGCAGCATACATAAACTAAAGAGAGCAGAGCCAGGGAAGTGGTGGATGGTTTAGCCAGGACTGGAACCACAGTATAAGGACTGACAGCACCTGATTTATTCCTCCACAGTATTATATCTACCTCTGACCTACATCCCTGCCCACCACCCAGTTAGTTAGTCTTGGACCACTATCTACAGTACAAGACTTACCTTGATGTCGCCTTTATTTGGGAACAGACAGACATCATTAGAATGGCTGCATTTTGCCATTTTTCAGGACAACTAGCTACAGACAGCATTAGACTGGATTCATGTTGCCATTTGTAGGGAACGAGTAGGCACAGACTTCATTAGACTGGATATATGTTGCCATTTGTCGGGAACGACTAGCTACAGACAGCATTAGAATGGCTTCATGTTGCCATTTGTAGGGAACGAGTAGGCACAGACTTCATTAGACTGGATTCGTGTTGCCATTTGTTCGGAACAACTATCTATAGACAGCATTAGACTGGATTCATGTTGCCATTTGTTCGGAACAACTATCTATAGACAGCATTAGAATGGCTTCATGTTGCCATTTGTAGGGAACAACTAGCTACATACAGTGTTAGACTGGATTCATGTTGCCATTTGTTCGGAACAACTATCTATAGACAGCATTGGACTGGATTCATGTTGCCATTTGTAGGGAACGACTAGCTACAGACAGTGTTAGAGTGGCTGTTTGCTGCTATTAGTCAGCCAGACTTCATTGGGATGACAGTTTGTATATAATCAGATTCTACAAATTCTATAAATCTAACATTTTTAAAGTTTGGAAGAAGTCTGCTGGACATTTGCAAGAGTGCAACCGTATTATGTACAGATAAACTTGAAAATATCTGAATGGGAAGAACTAATCTAAACATACTCTAGAATTTTCATTTCTGAAATATCTTTTAAAAAGTTGCCTATCTCCCATATTGCCCCTCAGTTTGAACAGCTCTGCACCTGTTGAGTGGGCAATGTGTGGAGACTATAGACAAAGAGAGTAGTTTATCTTTTGTAAAATAAAGAGTAAACAAAGATCCCAGACAGCCGTTTACTGTATGGAATCTTGCCAAGGCAGTAGCTCAAGCAAAACAACCTCCTCTCTCCTTCATTTCAAACTTCAAGACCTTATCTTCTGGGATCACAGTGTTCTGACTTTGTGCATGGTGTACTAAGTCTCCCCAAGCTCACATCAAAAACACATGTATGTATTCCAGTGACAGGACACCATTCTACAAGTTTCTATAGGCTGAGAAAATTCTAAGGAATCAGGACATTCCTGTTGGTATCTACTCTTTGGAAAGAGGCTCAATCACTTTGCACACAATGCCTTCCCTTTGTTCTTTTATAATTTCATTAATTTAGCAGACCAACCAAAATATTAGTGTCTGATTTACTTTTATTGACAGAATGAATGTGCAAATATGACCGAACTAGAATCTGCTGACATGGTTGACAATAATATAGTGACTGACATATGGGCTGTGGAACAAACATGTAGACACACTTTGTGGTTGCCTGGTGATGGGCAGTTATGTCTGAAAGTTTAAGCAGACTTTAGTTATATCTCTATCCATCAGATACCAAAAGAAAAAAAAAAGAATTTCTGACAAATGTCATCCATGGTTTGTTGGAGGACAGACACCACATCAGACAGTACTGCTGTTGGTGTGACCAAAACTTGTAGGTGATGTGAGGTGAAATTGAGTTTAACGTTGTGCTTGAGAATATTTCGCTCATATGACGACGTGCATGCGTGTATGTGTATGTGCGGCTGCTTGTACTAGCCCAGACTGAAGCTGGTTTTATAGTGCTAGCCCACTGAGATACCATTCCGCAGTTAAGCAGGAATACCCCACTCAGACACATTATACTGACTCCGAGCCGACCAGTCCTTGTACCCAGTAATGCCGAGCGCCAGGCAGGGACCAACAAGTACCATATTTTAACGTCTTTTGGTTATGACACGGTCAGGGATCGAACCCGCGACCTTTCGCTACCCGGGCGGACGCTCTAACCGCTACACCACGGAGGCGGTCCAAAAATTGTAGGATTTCATGGTATGTGCTGATATAGGTTCACTGTTTGATAACAAATGTTTTATTTCTCTCCACAGGGTAAGATGGGGTCACCTGGCTTCTCTGGCATCAACGGTATTCCTGTAAGTATATACTGCACTATGAAACATGGGTCGAATGAAGATCGTTACCATTATCAAACATAGGAAATGATTATCTTCGTGAAGTTTTTTGTTTCAGTTTTAGCAATAAGTTACTAGACTACTTCTGACAGCAGCAGAACACAGGTTTAATCTTGCTTATCAAAGACTGCCACTAAAACAGGGGATCACCACGGGGTCGTTCATGCCAACACTGGGTTATCTTAAAAGGATGTGTTGTCTAATCAGCTGAATTCTTGAGTTTCGACAACAGGACTCTTGAATTAATTTGGAAATTGCCAGCCTCTTTTTTTTTGTGATCAGTATTTCTGAGTCATTTAACTTCAGTTAATCCCACCAGTTGATCTGAATTCCAAATTTGATAATGCTTGGACTTTGATCGCAATGGATCCAGAGCTGGGTACAAAATGTAGATGTTGGTAATCACATAACTGGACGTATGATAGCATGAGACATGAGAAGCTGTATAGAAAAATTTAAAATATCAAGTAAAGGCATGGTGAATGTTGGGAAATGTTTCACAGGATGTGACCTCCTTCAAGATGATACACACCAAGCCTTTGTGTGACTCAATGGCATTGTAATGTGAACTGAAGTAGTAGCAGAAGGGCAATTATTGGCAATATGTTCTTGGTGCTTGATGACTGGGCTGCCCTGTTCCCACATGCTTCTAGTTCCCTGACACCCTTTACCATGGTCCTCACATTCCATGACAGCTCCGTCTCTGTAGTGCATTGACCCAGACACTCAAGTTCCAGAAAATGGACCAGATTCTTCCAGAAAATGTGATCAAGTTCAAGGAGCATGTTGGCTCACAAGATGTATTTATACAGATTTGTTCTCAGTTGAGTCACAAACACAGATCCTTGTGAACAAATTGGATGCACATGTTCTGTGAGGGCTCCTCATGGCACACAGAACAGCATTGGAAGATGGGTCAGCTATGAAGGTCTTGTATGTAGGCCTCTTACAATCATGATGACTAGGGACTGGCTATTTCTTACATTTCAAAGAAGTTGAACAATCTTTGTCACAAACATATATCTTGTGACAATATAAGGATATTAAAGTAATGTCTTCAGATTTCAGAGTTGAAGCAGTGCAATTCCACTGTATACAAATACTTTAAGAAATTTTCTTGAGGGATGAATTATGACTTGTTCATTCAGTGCCTTGTTGGCACTAACTAATTTAACAAGACATTTTTATGTATGATGAAACAGGATTTATTACAATATTTGGTGGTCGTCAACCAGATGCTGTTTCTCCATCAACCAATAAGATCCATTTGCTGCATATTACTTTCCAGCATATGTAGGGAGATGAATGAACTGAGTACAATATGCCCAGCATGTCTGGCTGCATGATATGCTATAACAATAAACACATGAAGCATAAATGTCAGCCTTCAGACCTGTGTAATTGATAAAACACACTTGGTGCTAACTTACAGCTCAAGTCTTGTGCATGACAAATGGTTTCCGCTGCGACTGGAACATGCTGCCCCACAGGGCTTTCTTCTTGCTAAAACTACATGAATAGAGGTTTTGTTTCCTGATGACCTGTCAGTGTCAGAACAGGCACCAAGTAGCTACAAAACTTCACGATGAATTAAACCAATGTTGATGTTCAAATTCAGCTATATCTGCTTGATCAGCAAGACTAGACCACCTTTCTTTTGTAATTTCTGCGATTGATATAATAGATGATATACAAAAGTGAGGTGAGGTGAAATTGGGTTTAACGTCGTGCTTGAGAATATTTTGCTCATATGACGACGTGCATGCGTGTGTATGTGTATGTGCGGCTGCTTGTACTAGCCCAGACATGAGCTGGTTTTATAGTGCTAGCTTACTGAGATACCATGCCGCAGTTAAGTATAAATACCCCACTCAGACACATTATACTGACTCCAAGCCAACCAGTCCTTGTTGTACCCTTTTATGCCGAGCGCCAGGCAGGGACCAACAAGTACCATATTTTAACGTCTTTTGGTATGACGCGGTCAGGGATCGGACCGGTGACCTTCTGCTCTCCGGGTGGACGCTCTAACCACTGCACCACGGAGGCGATGATATTCAAAAGTATTTCAGATTAGGTTTATATTAATATTTTGGAATAGAGATGTAAAGAAATGATACTCAGACACATATCTCGCTATATCTCAGTTATCCTACTCAGATGAATTCGTATGTTTTCAATTCTAAACTCGCTTTGAATTTACATCCTGTTGACAATCTTATGTTTCTAGGGATTCCCTGGCCCACCTGGACCTCGGGGTGCTACTGGTCTGGATGGTTGCAATGGAACTCAGGTATGTAGTGGACACAGATGTTAATTGATGTTGCCCATATTCCTGATGCTGTTCTGCTGATGCGAATAAGAACAATACACAGTTTTAGTAGATACTGTCCATATTGCACATGCTCTCATGATGCAGCTGAAAACAGGTACACAGTTTTAGTAGATAACTGTCCATATTGCACATGCTCTCATGATGCAGCTGAAAACAGGTACACAGTTTTAGTAGATAACTGTCCATATTGCACATGCTCTCATGATGCAGCTGAAAACAACACAGGTAGATAACTGTCCATATTAGTAGATGCAGCTGAAAACAGGTACACAGTTTTAGTAGATAACTGTCCATATTGCACATGCTCTCATGATGCAGCTGAAAACAGGTACACAGTTTTAGTAGATAACTGTCCATATTGCACATGCTCTCATGATGCAGCTGAAAACAGGTACACAGTTTTAGTAGATAACTGTCCATATTGCACATGCTCTCATGATGCAGCTGAAAACAGGTACACAGTTTTAGTAGATAACTGTCCATATTGCACATGCTCTCATGATGATGCAGCTGAAAACAGGTACACAGTTTTAGTAGATAACTGTCCATATTGCACATGCTCTCATGATGCAGCTGAAAACAGGTACACAGTTTTAGTAGATAACTGTCCATATTGCACATGCTCACATGATGCAGCTGAAAACAGGTACACAGTTTTAGTAGATAACTGTCCATATTGCACATGCTCACATGATGCAGCTGAAAACAGGTACACAGTTTTAGTAGATAACTGTCCATATTGCACATGCTCACATGATGCAGCTGAAAACAGGTACACAGTTTTAGTAGGTACTGTCCATTGCACATGCTCACATGATGCAGCTGAAAACAGGTACACAGTTTTAGTAGATAACTGTCCATATTGCACATGCTCTCATGATGCAGCTGAAAACAGGTACACAGTTTTAGTAGATAACTGTCCATATTGCACATGAAAACAGGTACACAGTTTTAGTAGATCTCATGATGCAGCTGAAAACAGGTACACAGTTTTAGTAGATAACTGTCCATATTGCACATGCTCTCATGATACAGCTGAAAACAGGTACACAGTTTTAGTAGATAACTGTCCATATTACACATGCTCTCATGATGCAGCTGAAAACAGGTACACAGTTTTAGTAGATAACCGTCCATATTGCACATGCTCTGATGATGCAGCTGAAAACAGGTACGTATAGTTTCGGTGTTCCCCATGTCATCTGATGGATGCAGATGAAAACAGGTACACAGTATTAGTAGGTGGCTTCTATTCTGAATGCTATGATATTGCTGAAACTGGAAACATACTCAGCTTGAGTATCATCTCCACTGAAAGATCATGTAGTTGTTAATGTGTTAGTTAGCTTATTACTCTCTTGGAACACTGAAAAGGCTTTACCAATCTGGTCACCAAAACTCTTACAGCTAAAGTGACCTATGTAAGTACTTTGAGCTGTACAAGGTTTGATACAATGATTACAGAAGAAATTTGCAGGGACCAAGTTTTCGCATTGAGACAACCTAAGTCTGACGCATCCAAGTTTAACACAAGAGTGATTTTGAGTAGATATATATTAGACTAATTCCCTAAAGACACTTGTACTTCAGGTAAATAATTTAACTGATGGGAACAGCCTGAGTATTAAACACAAATTGATGAGAAGGTTTGTGGTAAATCCGACCACGGATGATAGTTATGATCCTAACCTAGATGGTCTTTCCCAGGACAACACTGTCTGCTCAGTGGAGGGAGTGATACATGGAGGCTTTGTTTCCAACTTCATGTTTGGGCTATATTTACTTTAGGAACACAGCCCCCATATAGTGGGCAAGATAGTGCAATTTCTAGGCTTGGTAACAGAGGATATGTCATCACCTACCAGATACCATAAAACTGGGGCTTCAAGAATGCTAGATCGCAGAGTAAATAGGATGAATGTTCTCAGCATATGGGCCTGGTTATTCTTGCAGCAGCATAAAGGCAACATCCCCAGTGGGGTATATTGCTGGCTTTATAGCATTAAGACTGTCCTATCTGGAGCCAGGTTTCCATCTTCTGACAGATAGATGAGGATAAGATCACAATCACCTTTATATTGGATAGACCATGCGTAAAAGTAGGAATTTAGAAAAGGTAATGGGTGCTTGAAATCTAAAATTGTTTTGTTGCAATACATTCCATTAAAAAAGACATGCAATTTACATTTGCTCAAACTCGCAGGCCTACCTAATTTTTAAACTAAATGCCTACATACTTTTGGTTTACAATTCATGAGATGTTTTCAGTAATGTAGAAAAATATAGGAATTAATTAACAGACTAAGGAAAAGTACATATCCTTGGTTTAGTCTAAGCTGTTCTGAAATGTGATGCCCAGATATATTTTCTTTGAAATAAGACAACCATGGTTCTCTTGACCAGTTTGTTGATAGCAAATCTGAAGCCTTTCCTGTTCCATCAGGACATATTTAATATGGCTGTGGCTACATGGTATGCAGTAAAGTACAAACACTGACCACATGTGCACAAACAGAGCTTGCTTGATACGGGATGGGCATCTCTTTACCAAGCTTGAGGTTTCGAAATCCTATCATGCATAACATACCAAGTGGAAATTCAAATTCAAAAGTGTACAATACAGATTGTCATATGTGTATTTCTGAACAAAATTTCAATTTAATGTTAGAATGCCCCTTGATTATGTTTTTGGGTACTAAGAGGAATACAAATTGAATTTGTTCAGGAAATCAAGATAAACCTCCTAGATTATTTTCAAAGTACATGTATTCATGAACCCTAGTCCTTATCAAACTGAAGAAGGTATTTCAGCAATGAGTCTGCATCAACCGATTCCCTTCATACACTCCATCAACACACAGGCATCTGCCACCATCCCAAGCAGTACATGTCAGATACTGTGATAATACCAAATTCCAAAATCCAATCCTAACACTTGGTGGAGATAAACCTGTGGAAGTGCACCTCCTGCCTCCTTTGTTGATGGCAGTCCAATATACATACACCATCACTTCCATAGTGCTGAACACACCATACAAGCCCATGGTAACCACCATACCATCCATTATCCAACCACCACTTCTCAGCTGTCATTGTATAATTGACAAACCCTGCAGCTGTCACAGTACAGTTAACTAACAGCCCCATAGCTGCTCCAGTTAGCTCATAACCCCCATGGCATTAATCAACCAATCCCTTACCTGCCAGGAAACCCCCACCCTATAGACATCACCACCCCATCCTTTCACCACCCACTGGCTACCACCCCATCCCTCAACATCCAACTGATGTCTCTCTCCACCAATCTGACATCAACCAACCTATTTCTGCCAGATGCCCCTACCAATAGCTGGCACCACCACCATCCAATTTGTTGCATGTCCAGCACTGCTGACACAGCAGATACTAGCTACGCCTATAACCCTTCATACCACCTGTGGTGGTAGCATTCGCTACAACATATGCCATAACTAACTTTGCCAACTCAGGAACTGCCTCCTTGGGATTATTTAATGTTGATGAGATGTGGAGGTCTGTGGAGTCAGACCGGGTGGTCATTGACTGTCTGCTTCACAAGTCCTGATCTAGTTCCTGGGAATCTAGGCTACCAGATTTGGTATGCAATGATCTTTGAAAATTAGATCTATGATATCTACAAGACTTCCTGATTGAAGCCACCAGATGTGTCTGGAGCACAATGCCATGATAACAGTATGGAAAACATCTTTTGTGTAAATTCACCCACACTTTTGGACTACAGCTAAGAAAACTTCAATAAAAAAAGGATTCACTCTGTAGTCTTTCTTGCAATTCTGACCGCTTCTAGTACGTTATAGATTACACCTCAGCGTTTGATCTTTGTCAAGACAGAGGATAGCCAGCTTGACCAAACCAAGTGGCCTACTGCTGAGGATTAAATGAGGTCATGTCTTGGACGAATTTGGATGCTGGTGGTCTAGAAAAGATCTGGTTACACAAGTGATTGGGTCCATTATCAGTAGAAGCAGAATGAGGGATAGCCCAGTGATTGCAGGAGGGTTCCCACAGGGGGTCCCAGAAGGCTGTCAGGATAGGGCTCCTGACTCCAACATCATTGTGACTGACACCACCTCATGTTGTGGTCAAGTGGACAGATAATGTCAATGCAGACCAATTGCTTCTGACATGGACATCTTTATTGAAGGGCGAGGCTAGTTCTTCAGAAGATGAAGTTCAGAATCCTGGTGTAGCATTCTTTCATTGAGATAGAAGTTCTGCGATGATTATATTTGTGATTACAGTGATTAATTTTAGTCCACAAAGAAATTGACAACTATGTATAAATATTGTATAGATTGCTCTGATACAAAAGGGACAGAACAGTTCCACAAGACACACAAAAATTTGGTAATAAAAATAGTATACCCTTATGTTGGAGCAGCTTCATTGTGGATTTCCTTTTTAATGTAACAATGATGTCTTTATGTACCGTATGTCATGGGTTTATCACAGGGGGGATTGTGGTTGATGGTGTGCCATCTTTGAGGAGCTTAGTTTCAGAGACTATAGAGGTCAGCTAAATGTCTGTTACCATGATGAAACAATCACAGACTTATACAAGAGGTAAAGTGGCTAGAGTTACTAATCTTAGTCACAAGTCCTATGATATGTGGCTGGTGAGATACAATGATGCCTATGTATATATAGGCACCAATATATCACAGCAAATACTCACAGGAGTTGGGAAGTAAAATCAATGGACAAAAAAGCCTTTTGTATGTCTTGCACCCTCAAGTGTAGAGCCTCCTTTGGTAAAATGGTGAGATTGAACTGTGAGATCCCAAATAACCCCAGTGTTTATTACAGATGGGTGGGTCTGCTGACTCTCACAACCTGTTTGCACAGGATGTTGGAAATGGCCACAACCTTCCATTCTTTTAGCACAGAAAGGGGAATCCAGGATATGATTTTAGCCAAACAATGTACTGATATAAAATCAGAAAGGTACATCGAGTATTTAGCATTGCTGATACAGCAACATTCTAATCTTAATGATAGAAGAGAAGACGATTGCTTTTCTTTGTCAACGGTATCTTGAAAGCTTTTTGTATATCCTGTCTGAACATTTCAATAATTTCTCTAAAGAATGCTTAATATTTGGTCATAAATACTGAAAGTCTTCAGGTCTGTTTGGGGGTAAAAAGTTTAAATGTCCCTCATTACATAATGCGATTGAGGTATGCTTCAATTGTTTGGTGTCCATGTGGGAGAATATGGCCACAGTTTGTGGCTGTGGCAAATTGTTGCTAGGTCAGCAACCCACAACCAGAGACCTATCTCACTTATACATATGATGTCAATCAGAATGGAAATTTGAGCTGACTTGAAGCGAAGCACAGTGCTTGGCCTCGTAACATAGCAGGGCAGTGTTTATGATTTATGAAAGAGGAATTGTTTTACAAAACACTTAAGGTCTGGATAGAAATACCTGGTTACATTTCAATGACTTTTCCCCAATAGTATTGACGTTGTCCATTGTAATAATTCAAATCATTTCAGGACAGTCATATAACAGAGTAGTGACGTAGATACATGGCCCATGGTTCTTCGACATAGTTTACTAGACCTTCTTATTTTCTAACTTCTTTAATCACGACTTGTACATACTGAAACTAGATCCCTACATCCATCTTTGCTATCACAGAAATATGAACATGTTTGAAATGTCAGTTTACAGCCTGACACACACATCTGACTTTCAAGACTTGAAAATGTCAGTATATTTTTTTGGTCTTGTGGTGGCAAGGAGATAGTGGCATATGGTTCCATTGTTATTTTATACCATGTTTATTGGCTTATCAGAGGAACTTGATTGTTATTATTCTGATGTAAAAGAACATACCCTTATTGTGTCCTTCATCGGATTAAGTCTCAAATACTCTCCAAGTCCACACCACAGTTCTTATAGCATTTCTGAAATAGTAATGAAATAATAAACTCACGAAAGTGAATAAGTAGATGCCAGGTGTTCTGAGAATAATTTTTTTATATTTTAAGATTTACAATAAAAATATATCTGTTCCAATCATAGTGAAAATAAACAAGTTTTGTATGGTGAGAAAGCAAACTAAAATGAAATGCACACAGATTGCTGGATGTATTTCTGTTTCTAATATGCTTCTATAAATATGTCTTGTATTTACAATAAGTTATGTCTTGTATTTACAATAAGTTATGTCTTGTATTTACATTAAGTTTTTGAAAGAAAGATGCCACAGTTATAGTATAGCTCTCCATCTTAGTTGGTAGGGGCGGTGGGGTAGCCTAATGGTTAAAGCGTTGGCTCGTCACGCCGAAGACCCGGGTTCGAATCCCCACATGGGCACAATGTGTGAAGCCCACTTCTGGTGTCCCCCGCCGTGATGTTGCTGGAATATTGCTAAAAGCGGCGCGTAAAACCAAACTCAGTCAGTCAGTCTTAGTTGGTAGAGTTATGAGTGGGGTTCCACATAAGTGTTAAAATAGCAATAACAATTATACGAATTGAAACATTGAGGACACAAATCGAGTAACAAAGGTAAGTGAAAGTAATGCTAATTATTACAAAATTATCAAAAGAAGATTAAATACTTTCACTTAAAAGTCTCCACCATCTCTTCATGGACTCCATTTAATGCTGTAAGTATTTCACTTTGAATGTATCATATAAAAATTATTTTTTAACATGTTACATAAGTATTTTATCATTCTTTGTTATGTATTTATTTACTGGTAATTCGATTAATTGAGGTCCTTTCCCAAGAGAGTATATGTATACAGTGCCATTTTACTGACCTTACTGAGATCCAACTGTTGGTATGCTTTTGTATCTGGGGGGATCTCAGGGCAGAGTAGGTCCCCAGCTATCAATACTGGTTCTTGGAGACCAGCTAAGGAATTGGGTGTTCCAATTCATCATACCTTCTCTTGTTGCTTTCAATTCCGATCACAGGATTGTCTGTTCGAGACTTGTTTATGTACAGGCTGGTGTCATATAGCTTAAATACTGCTATGTATTAACAACAACAATAACACAGCAAACAAGCATGTTGCACATTTTGTCGAATCAATCGTATGTTTGAAGTGAATATCATTGACTCTTCATGGAATAAAACATGGAAACTTTACAGCTTGGTTCTTGCAATTAGTATTAATTGACCAACAGTTTTTGATATATCCCTGTGTATTTACTCAGACACTGTTTTCTCATGTGTTATAGGGAGATCCTGGATCTCCTGGTCTGCCAGGTATTCCCGGAGAAGCTGGTACACCTGGTCAAGATGGTATTCCTGGTCTTAAGGGAGAGCCATCAGTTGCTGGAGTAACCCTCCCAGGACAGAAGGTAGTGTACAATAAGTGCATCCTTGTAAAATCAAGGAAACCGATTGTGTCCAATTTTGGAAGGCATATTGATGCAGATAGTTTTTTTATTAAATTAACAATTTTTAGAATTGCAATATGCTATCAGATTTGCAGTGGAAAGTGTATTTTTCAAGAAATATGAGATCTCAGATCACTGTGTGAGCAGTGAAGTGGTAAATATCCTTGTTTGCTTTCAGGTATTCTAATTATCTACAACAATGCACTTAATTCTTGCAGTTACCTCTTAATATTATTGTTGCCATATTGCAGGGAGAGCCTGGAGCAGATGGCCTACCCGGGTTGCCTGTGAGTACTAACATTTAACTGGACTATGACAATTTTCTCAAAACCTTGTCTATAAATCTGATATGTGATACATCCTCAAATTTGATATGTGAAAAAAAATGACAAAAGCAGTGGCAATTTTTTCTGTATTCCAAGAATCAGAAATATAGGAAATGTTTTTATGCATCATGTTGCATTATCTATTGGTTTCCATGGCAACACAATCAAACTACATGACTAAGCTGCACTTATAAACAGAAATTACACAAACTAAATTTGTGCAAATATCCATGTACACGTTTGTTTACAACAGGGAAGTCACGGAAGAGATGGACCCATTGGCCCCAAAGGAGAACCTGGCTTAGCAGGACCACCAGTATGTACTAGCTTTCCTTGTTGAGAATGCCTACAAATTATCAAATACATCAGAAATTTAACACAGTTAAAACTAGAAGTTCTGAGAATATTTTACAAACATTAAAAATATCTTTATCTTTATAATCACATTTGCTAAATTGTATCATATCATAGCCTTAAGCATATGGTTCTATTGCAGGTGTTTGACTACAGTAACAATTACAAGTAACAGCTTTAGGCTCATGCTACTGCTAAAGCTATCTTACACTGTAACAGTTATGTGTGACAACTGCAGCTGTAGATCCCAGCTTTAGGCTCATGCTACTGCTAAAGCTATCTTACACTGTAACAGTTATGTGTGACAGCTGCAGCTGTAGATCCCAGCTTTAGGCTCATGCTACTGCTAAAGCTATCTTACACTGTAACAGTTATGTGTGACAGCTGCAGCTGTAGATCACAGCTTTAGGCTCATGCTACTGCTAAAGCTATCTTACACTGTAACAGTTATGAATGACAGCTGCAGCTGTAGATCACAGCTTTAGGTTCATCCTACTGCTAAAGCTATCTTACACTTTTAACAGTTATGAATGACAGCTGCAGCTGTAGATCACAGCTTTAGGTTCATCCTACTGCTAAAGCTATCTTACACTGTAACAGTTATGTGTGACAGCTGCAGCTGTAGATCACAGCTTTAGGCTCATGCTACTGCTAAAGCTATCTTACACTGTAACAGTTATAACAGTTATGTAGATGACAGCTTTGCAGCTGTAGATCACACTTTTAGCTTTAGCTGTAGATCACAGCTTTAGGTTCATGCTACTGCTAAAGCTATCTTACACTGTAACAGTTATGAATGTGACAGATCACAGCTTTGCAGCTGTAGATCACAGCTTTAGGTTCATCCTACTGCTAAAGCTATCTTACACTGTAACAGTTATGAATGACAGCTGCAGCTGTAGATCACAGCTTTAGGTTCATCCTACTGCTAAAGCTATCTTACACTGTAACAGTTATGTGTGACAGCTGCAGCTGTAGATCACAGCTTTAGGTTCATCCTACTGCTAAAGCTATCTTACACTTTTAACAGTTATGAATGACACAGCTGCTTTAGTTCATCCTACTGCTAAAGACTTTTAACAGTTATGAATGACAGCTGCAGCTGTAGATCCCAGCTTTAGGTTCATCCTACTGCTAAAGCTATCTTACACTGTAACAGTTATGAATGACAGCTGCAGCTATTGGTCACAGCATCAGGAACACCTTTGCATGTATGTTATGACACACCCACAGCAATGTAGACTTTGCTTTGCAGGGTCCCTTTGGTGACCGAGGACCCCCAGGAGAGAAAGGTAACATGGGTTTGGGCACTCATGGAGAAAAGGGCCAGAAAGGTTCCACTGGACCCCCAGGCAACCCTGGACCCCCAGGTGGTCTAGGAGCTCTCACCAATCCTCCAGGACAAATCCAAGGACCTAAGGGACTGAAGGGCATGCTTGGAGATGAGGTGAGTGGTGACGTGATGTTTATGTATATGTATATGAAAAGCTTCATGTCCACTGGTTCTGCAGTTTAACTTGATGAAGTGCCTTGATAAATATTTCTGACTCTGACTATGTTGTAGAATGCCATTCAGGCACCATCAAGTACTTTTTACTGTTTTAATACTTGAAAACACTGTTGCTAAACTAATTTTATGACTTTTGGAATGTGACATGATGAACAATTGAGGAATTAGATCCCTGTTTGTCTCTTTGAGCTAGATGTATTAGGATCTGCACAAATGGTAAACTGACAGTGTTATTTTGGTTTTATTAGGCAACAAGACTGAATGTCAAGTAGTGTTGGTAATTGGTTGAAATCTCATAATTGATGATTGGTTCATTACAACCGATCAATCATCGAAAATAATTGGTTTGCGTCATTTATCAAATGTTCCTGTTATCTTTGTTAATGCACACACAAAAAATAAAGAAAAAACATGTAGTAATTTGCAATTGGGTCTTTTGCAAATTGCACAAAATCCATTGGCAAATTTCGCATATTTAAAGGATGATTAGTATGTTAGGAACACAGACTTCCTGGATTCTTTAAGATAAATTCAATCATGACTTGGAACGAGCTTGTAGTGCTTATGAAATGTAAATTTAATGACACAGACAAAACCAACTTTGTGTAAAATATTGTTGATGCAAACAAGTGTTCCAAAATTGTTTGTGTTCGATTATGAGAAAACACAATCGATTGCTTAGTCGTTTAGGCACTGCGACCAATCTTCGATTATTTCAATTAATCAATTAATCGGACCACTACTAATGTCAAGTAAGCTCATGTGTAGGACTGTCTGCTCAGTTTTGGTCTGAAGCATCTTATCATCAGTAACCACAAGATTAATGAATCTGAAACTTCACATACTTGTTCCCATCAACAATTTGATTCTGTTCATTTCAGGGTATGAAGGGTGAACCTGGTCTGCCTGGCATGAAGGGACCTGCTGGTCTGCAGGTAGGATTTCAAAACTTTCCTTCACCGGTCACTGTCACCTCAAAGTAACAAGACTGGCCTTCTGACATGATACAAACAGGGTCAATAATCACTTAACAATAAGATGTCATATTCATTTCAAAGACATCAGAAAATTTGACAGATTTTTTATTTTGACAAGAAAGAAATGAGCCAGTGACATAGCTGGATTTTACTATAAGTAATGATGATGGTCCATATATTGATATCATGGCAATCTGCCATTAAAGCATGAGTAACAAATTTAATAAAAAAATATCGCTCTTGGACAAATTGTGTTCCCAATTGTATCCAGGATATTATTTTGAATTATGTTTTTGATTATTTCAGGGCCTACCTGGTCCACCAGGAATGGTTGGTGAGAAGGGCGTACCTGGCATTGCAGGTCCTCGTGTGAGTTGACTAACCTAGCATCTTAACAATACATTGTAGTGAGAATCCAACACATTCATACAATTTATGTCAAACAACTGAAAGTGCCAGTTCCATTCCATACATTCTTCATCCCATGACACATTTTCTTCTGGATGTCTAGACATAATAAATACACTGCAATACAAATATTTTGTGTATATTTTGCTAGTAGGGTACAATTATGTGCACTAATACAAAAACAACGAATGTTTGATTGTAAAGATACATGTAGCGGCTGATCATTGTGTTGCAAAAGCTTTATTATCTGTTAAATATTTTGTTGTTGTTTTCCAGGGTAAACAAGGTTATCCGGGGGTTCCTGGTCAACCTGGACAAAAGGTACTGTCAGATTAAACACTTTCTGGTAGAGATGAAATGTATTTCAGATATTGTGGCTGTATCTGAAATCTATACAAATATTAGGATATATATCAACAGCTATAATATGCTGAATAAAGCCCTATGGTTTTTTAATGATGTGACCGCCACCATATAGCTGGAATATTGCTGAGTGCGGCGTAAAATTAAACTCACTCACTCACTCACTTTAATGATGTAATGAACATGGCCAGTGACAGTGAATCACGTATTGCAATGCTTGAAAGTATGTACCAGATTTGTGCCTGCTACATGCGTGTGTTTGTCTACCATTATGTATCCTCCCTGTTGTGTAGGGTGACCGCGGTATGGATGGTCTCCCTGGTGTAGCTGGCCTTGGTGGTATGAAGGGAGATCGTGGTCTGTCTGGTGTTGATGGTCTTCGTGGTCAGAGAGGTCCCCCCTGGTCCAGCAGGAGTAAGTATGGTCTAAAGCAGTAACTCCCCATTGGAAATAATAATGGAACCTTGCCAACTAATATTATTTGAGTTTTGAGTTAATAAGTTGAAGCAGTTACATTGACATAAATGCCTATCATCTTGTGTGGTTAAGTTTGCTCAAAGTTACAATAGTTATTTAAGCATCAATTGCAGTATCTTTCTGGTCAAACTGTGTAAAATCAAATTGTCCCGAGCCATAAATGTACTTCAACCAAAGACAGAATAGGTGACTTGCTAACTGGTAAATGGGAAAATACTGCACTAGTGACACTTGTGTGGACCGCTGCAGTGATGATAATCCAAATCAGTCAATGAACAAACACGTTGTTCTCTTATCATCACTTGGTGTCAGAAGTTTTCAAAAAGTATGTCTCTTCACTGAGAGGACAATTGAAAAGTTGCTCACTACTGCCTTTTAAAACATGAAATATAAAGCCTCCATTTCTTACAGTTTGACCATGGAGTACCTTTATTAAATGCTTTACCATGCTATAACCCAAATGCTTACCATACCTTGCTCACCTGCTAATGATACATTATGCAGGGACCTGGAGGAGATGGTCCACCTGGTCCAGTTGGACCCGCTGGTCCACGTGGTCTGCCTGGTGATCCAGGACTGCCAGGCCTCCCTGGACCACAAGGTCAGCGTGGTAATGATGGTCCATTTGGTGGTCCTGGAATCCCTGGTGTGCCTGGTACTCAAGGTCTTGATGGCCCCAAGGGAGATAGAGGAGATTCTGGAGTTCCAGGTAAAGTTTAGCTGTTCTTTCAACAAACACAACACACACTGCAATTAACTTATGTTTTGTCAAGCAACCTCACAAGTTTTGGAGGGAATCACTACATTTCTTTTGGTTTCAGTATAAACAGTAAACAGCTATTGTTTTGTAATACACACAACCCCATTGTCATTTCTTTTCAGCCTTACGTGGAAGAAAGTTTTTTCATAATAATCCCAGTTGCTCATTAAAATAAAAAAGGATCCCTAGTCAATAAAAAATATACTTTAAGTCAATATTTGCACTTCTTGGTCAGGCATGGTATCTGAATATTTATCTGGACATTTGCTAATGAAATCTGACAAATGACACAATTCAGTATGTCAAATGTAGATACTGTAGGGTTGATGTTGAGCCTGCGTCTCTATTTAACATCAGGTATTGCTGGACTGGATGGTCGCCCTGGTACTCCTGGTCTATCTGGACAGAAGGGAGAGCCTGGTTTCCCAGGTGAAGGTGGAGCAAGTATTCCTGGTGTCAGGGGACCATCTGGTTTGCCTGGTCTGGATGGTATTCCTGGGGTGAAGGGAGAGAGAGGTCCTAAAGGTCTGCCTGGTCCACCTGGAAATTCTACCAAGGGTTTGCCCGGCCCCTCAGGTCCCAAGGGAGAGAAGGGTCAGGGGGAGGTTTCTCTGGTTTGCCTGGTCGTGATGGTCTTCCCGGTCTCCCTGGAGATAAAGGTCAGTTGGTTGAGAAACTAACACATTTTATTACCTACGAGGGCGAAAATATCGTGGTTCATATTTTTCATACGATGCCCTAGGGCAAAATATTACTTTGTCATGGTCACGTGACTTCATAAACAATGCTATGACGTCACGTTTCGTCTGTGACGTTGTGTTCTACATGCGGCGACGGCAGGTAGCCTGCCTATGTTTGAAAGTAGATTTTGGTTTATTTCCCTCAATTTGTCAACTTCTGTAATAAACAGAATATTATATTTGTGCCCATATCACACTATGTTTACGACACTCATGCCTAAATATCGGTATATCCCTTGTTCTCGCTTGGGAAATACCAACATTTAGGCACTCGTGTCGTAAACAAAGTATGACACGGGCACTCATATAATATCCTCTATTTATTCCCTGTGTTATTAATGCTGTAGTAGGCAGCAGTCTGAAATGCACAGTCATGTACAAATGGCCAAAGGGAGTGCATGATCGTATTTATTGAAATGAAATTTTGATATGTGATTGGAACGCGATAATCTTCCGGATTTTTCACAGAGTTTGAAGAGATATCTTGAGAGATTATCTACCGTCAGTTCAAAGTTAGTCTCCCTGCAGTAAATGCTCAATAACAGATTGGAACCAAGAAATCTTCTGGATATTTCAATTTGAATAGATGTGTTATCTTATGACACGTTTTCCTTCTATGTAAAGTGTAGAAACTATATTGTTCCCATATCCACAGGTGATCGTGGTGGTTCCTGCAGCCTTTGTCAGAATGGTCTTAAGGGAGAGAAAGGTCTGTCTGGTCTAGATGGTCTGCCTGGACAGCCTGGTGTACCAGGTGAGCCAGGACCAGTTGGAACCAAGGGAGAGCCTGGCGAGGATGGTCCTCCAGGTCTGTCTGGCCTGCCTGGTCTCAGGGTAAGTATCGGCACTCAGTTTACAGACAATTTCATCCAGAATGAAATAATACTGCACAAAATTTTAAAAACAGTTCAGCTGATATAAGCACAGTCCTGTAAGAGGACAACAGATACTGTCTATTACAGATATTCATATATAAGTCTTTTGCCTTGACTCACAAACATGGGGGACCCCTAATTATAAGTTTGAGGGTCCTTGCAGGCAATACGAAGGTCTTGTGGAGTAAGGGTGTCGAGAACTGTATGTTTTGATAATTTCTTTAGAGCCTGGAATGAATCATTGATCATGTGGACTGATGGGTGAAATGATGCTAATAGCTGCACAGAAAGAAACTACCAACACCTAGCAAAGTCATAGATGTGTTGTGGGTACATTGAATAATATTGTGCATCCTTCTGGACTCAATGAATCTTTTTCTGTGTCCATTCTCGATTTTCACACATTTGCCTGTCGCATAAAACTCTGATATATGCTTCTGTGCCTTTCGTCAAGAGAAATTCGGAATGGTACTTGTTCAGAGTAAAGGCTATTTGTTCAGTGGTATAACTATAGACACTATGTTAGCCAGGCTGTTTTTAGTATTTTGAAGTTATTACTGTTGAATCATGATCTGCTATTGTTCAGTTTCCAATATCACAAAACACTTGTGTTCAAACTGAAAAGCAAAGGCAGCATTATAATCCTTTTTTAACCACCCACATATATGTCCAATCTGAAGCAGTACTGGTTTTGAAAATTTAAGTACGTTTAGTTGAAATGAGTAAATTCAATTAAGTTTGAGGGCCAATTTGCCCAGATATTCCTAGGTGGCTCAGTTTGGGGTTGGCATTTCTCAATATCATGCATGTGGAGCAATTATATAGTTACATTATAATGAGAAGACTTTGTCTATAAATGAATATCTATTATAACGTAAAATTCCATATTTTACACACAATCTTCAATTAAAGTTATAGCTTGTTACAAGCAAAGTTTTTGCTGCAATAATCACACACCTGTTTTGGTTATAGCATGTGGTGTTGTGTACATGGAATGACATTGGCTAACATCTCTGTATTCTAGGGTGAGGATGGTCTGCCTGGCCTGCCTGGTATTCAAGGTATCAAAGGAGAAGATGCAAGAGCGGAGGTCATTCCTGGGCCTGAGGGTGAGTACCTTGAGTTACCCATTCTGTTGATCGTGTCAATATTGACAAAGTTTTGTCAAAGCTGTCACCGCGGGTTTTCCTCCCACAGTAAGCTCGCATGATGTGATATAACTGGAATAATGTGGAAAGTGGCATCAAAATCAACTCATTCACCTACATGGTGAGAGAGTATTATCACGGCAGATGACTCTTGGAATACATGTGTCAAACCAGTCTTGCAGAAGAATGAATGAATGCCCTCTTTCTTTTCCTCATCTGGATGGCACCATTGTACGTACAGCTACATGTTTAGACTGACTGACTGAGTTTGGTTTTACGCTGCTTTTAGCAATATTCCAGCAACATCACGGCGGGGGACACCAGAAATGGGATTCACACATTGTGCCCATGTGGGGATTCGAACCCGGGTCTTCAGCTTGACGAGCCAACACTTTAACCATTAGGCTACCCCACCGCCCCCCTTTAGAATGAATATGAACATAATGTCTGTTTGTAATGACTGACAGTGTAAAGGCACCTGGACAACCTACATGTAGTCTGTTAAGGGGCATCAGATACATAGCTGTAGTTCTTAAGAATGGTCCACTGCCTGGTACCCATTTTTTCAGATACACAACTGCTAGTTGTAATATTTACAAAGGGGTTTTGAAGTAATGGAATCAAACTTGTTTGGACTTAAATATCTTGAGTCTCTATGTATGTATAGAAAGCAATGACTGACAGTCACAGAAAGCCAGGGATTTTCAATAGACTGTGGTTATTTTAACAGGTTTCAAGGGTGAGCGTGGTGATGTTGGTCTTCCTGGTGAGTCTGGTCGCCGAGGTCTCCCTGGACCACAGGGACCCCCTGGGGCTCCCGGTCTGCCTGGAATCAAGGGAGAGAGGGTAGGTCAAATATGAATTCATGTCAACACCATATTAAGTTGAAAGGAACGTTCTTTGTCTCAGCACAAATAAGTGTGATGCCACTAAAATCACTGAATATTCATTGTTCATGCTTCTTTATCAGGGAACAAAAGGCCTTCCTGGTTTAGATGGTCGCCCTGGCAACTCAGGAGAACCTGGTATTCCTGGCTCAAGAGGCCAGCCTGGACTTGGTGTGCCCGGTTTCCCTGGTGACCGTGGTGACCCAGGAGTGTCTGGTCTGCCTGGTCTTCCTGGTATGAAAGGAACGAAGGGAGAAGCAGGTAAGCTATTTGTCATTGTAGGTAATAAACATTTTCTTGATGTGTGCTTTCAAAGAACTTATACAAAATTCCATGCTTTGTTGATAGTTTTAAATCTTTTTCAGAAGATTATTAAGTGCTCAGCATGCCAGTAAGCTGTCCAAAACTGGTATATTTGTAACAGTTTGAACAACAGATTTTTTATTTTGCAGGATTTCTTCCCAATAACGTCTGGGACACATTGAAGGGAGAACAAGGAGAACCAGGCCTGTCCGGGCCATCAGGTATTCCTGGCATGCCAGGTTTGTCAGGACAGAAGGGAAATCCAGGTGAGAATCGAACTTGACCCTGCCGATGGTTTCATAGCTGAATACTCCTCACAGAATGATGCCTTCTATTTGTTGTTGATTGAGCTGATTTACAATTAACTTCTTTCAGGTTTGCCTGGCAACTCTGGTTTGGATGGCCTACCCGGATTTAAGGGAGAATCTGGTCTGCCTGGTTTACCTGGCTTGTCTGGTCCAAGAGGTAAGGCAAATGGCAATGAAGTCAGTGACTTAGCGTTTGTAATGCATTGTTTACCCTTATTACAAGAAAACCTCTCTGCTATGCTTCACTGGAATGAAGTAGTTCTTGCTTGAGGAAACCAAATGTACATCATGTTAAACAGCACTGATTTATACAGTAATATATGTTGAGGGTGAATTTCTATTCAACGTTAATATTATAAAATAATATCATAATTAGGTTGTGCTGTCGGTTCACCATGTATGCTTCTCATTGATATGAATTACAATTTCTCTTCCGTTTTTCAAACTTGAGTCATGTTGATCTTCAGGTCTTCCTGGTCCACGAGGGGACAAAGGAGAACCAGGATTGCCAGGATTGTCAGGACCAAATGGACTGAAAGGAGATGGTGGTCTTTCTGGTCTTCCAGGCATTGCAGGTACAAAGTCTTTCGGAATAAACGATTATTCACACAAGAAGCACCCAGATAGCATTCAGACGTTGGCCCAACATTGGCAATGGTTTTGCCAACATTGCCAACGTTGAGCCAACGTCCGAATGCTACTGTAAACGTATTATATTTCGCGCAGGTTTTATTTTCGCGCTTTCCGCGCAAAACATTTTAGAGCGAAAATGTATACACCGCGAATAAACCTGTCATTCATTCAGTCTAGCCACGCCAAATCCCATCGCCGAATTTGCGAAAACAGCAATGTGTGTTGTGGCCACCATGGAAATTGGTCACATGACAGATGGTTTGATACAAAACAGATTACCATGAAATGACTCGGAAAGAAATAATACAGCAGTATTTTATTTATTCATTAAGATTTTATTTACCAGTACATCATGAAGCGAATAGTCACTTAACACTCAATCATCTCATTCACAACAACCCGGCTTGTTTGAAATCACAAGGAGCTTCATATACAGTAGAAGTTAATTCGTCAGATCGTCAGAGTTCGGAACATAAGACTGATGTGTTTTTCATCTCTTCCGTGAGTAAACGGATTACTGTGTACTAGTATATCGCACAGATAGGGATTTCCTGTGAGTAAGCAATAAAGGCCGCCTGACAGGTTAAGCCACTTACTGTTTGTTTTCACTGCTATTAGTGGCGGCCAAAGAGACAGCTGGCAGTTCCGCCAATTACTGATTGCGTGAACAATTGACCGCGCGATGTAGTCTAAACTGTCAATTCCGCTAAAATTGCACCACGCAAAAATAAGTACGTTTACAGTATCCGGGCAATAGTGTTGTCCTGAGTAAAGAGTTAATCAATGAAAGGATCATTGCATTGAACTGCCAGGTAAAGTTGGTATGATGATCTAATAAAGATGCAAGTGAGCCAACTACCTTTGTAGGCTCTGTACGTCACTCTGATGTGTACTTGCAGACAAACTATCGCAGAATATTCCCTCAATGAACAGATAGTGGTTTTGCATTTGTAATGGACTGTATCACCAGCAGATGGTTTAGTGAATACTCCTGATTTTAGTTATTCTAAGCATGGCATGTTATAACAGACATTATTGCCCCTTGTTTTGGTATTCTTAATATCACGTATAAGGAATAAAAGTATCCACTGTTCTCTCCAAATGCTCACAATATACATATATACTACTAATATTCAAGACTTAAAATAACAAAACTCTCTCATCGTAAAACTGTATATATCTTTAATATAACAATGAACCATTTATGATCTTGATAGAAAAACAGAAATTGCACACACCAACAACCTATGCAGAAAAAACAGAAACAAACCAAAGTTTTCAAAAATTAGTAACATTCAAATGCTGAAAATGTCCAACCTGAAAAACAGTGTGCTGCTGCAGCATGGTGTCTAACAGATGTTTCTGCATCATCACTGTCCTTACCCTGGATATCTTCAGTGTAACCATTTTGTAACCTTCTTCCAGGGTTGAAGGGAGAGACTGGTTTCCCTGGAGAACCTATTGTGGGACCCAAGGGAGAAGCTGGTTTGCCTGGTCTGCCTGGAGGAAAAGGACTTGTTGGTTATGCTGGCCCAGAAGGTGAGCACTATATAAGTTTGCAGGAGTTTCATATGATACACTTGCTTGAATGGAATAATTTCTTTATTATCCATTTTATTCATGTACATTTGTGCAGTAAAACACGGTAAGCAAGTGAGACGGTCCTCTTCATTGACGTCACAGACGACGAAATACAGAAACAATGGTTACATATGACGCTATGTGGTATATATGACACTGGTTATGTTTCACCATATGGGTAATAAAAGATGTTATAAGATGCAATCATTTTTTTTCTTATGAATAATGTATCTCTAATCTGACTACACAGAGGCTATCTTCCTTTGCTAGGTCTGCGTGGTGCCCCCGGCTTGACTGGTCTCAAGGGTGAATCTGGCCAGCCTGGTTTGCCTGGTCTTGATGGTCTTCCTGGTGTGAAAGGGGAGCCTGGGCTGGATGGACAACCTGGATTTCCTGGAAACGATGGACCAGAGGGTCTGCCTGGACTTCCTGGTGAGTAAGATGAACATGAACAAAGCTTAGACAACTATTAGTTGAAAGTTTTACAGTGTCGTTCAAAGTGGAGAGTCAGCATGAGATATTGTTCAAATCAATAATATTGTCATTGTTTGATTGCATGTTGTTACTTACTTTCTCTTGATATATTTTCTATTTAGTTCTTGGTATTACTTTCCTACATTATTCACTTTCTTAGAAATGGTCACAAATCACTGACATGAAAATCAAAACAAAAACAAAACTGGAATAAAAGTTACCCAGGGTGATATATCTGTGTCTTAGAATTTCTTTACATCATAACTAACCTAGTTTGATTTGTTGAATCGCCCTTGTTTATTGTATAATAAAAAAAATATTCATTTAAGAGCAATACCTGTTTTTTATCAACACCAATAAAAATACGCAATATGATGCTCAGTCTCTGTATTGGGCAGGTATTGAGCTCATATGATGTCTATAATTGTTTGTTGTCCTCTGCAGGTGAGCCTGGCAGTAAGGGTGACTCTGGGCTGCCTGGCCTCCCTGGACTCTCTGGACCAAAGGGCGAGTCTGGTGAACCTGGACCTGCTGGACAATCTGGCCTTCCTGGACTTTCTGGCGTCAGAGGACCACCCGGACAAAGCGGTCAAGATGGTTTGCCTGGACTGCCAGGTTAGTAGATTTGTTGTCTTCCCTTCCAGTTCTTTTGTAATAAATACCTGTGGTTATCAGGTACAAACTAAATACTAAATTACTTGCAATAATTATGCATCAACCTGTCGGGGGATTCCAGGTAGAATTTATCCCAAGCAGCCTATGCTGGTTGTAGGAAGTAACGAAATGCATCAAGTGGTGAAGTTCTGTGGCTTGGTTGATGTGTCATCGTACATTTACAGCATGGATTGTTGCTCATGATATCTCTCACTGGATAACTTGATAACTGACAGACATCCTTTAGTTGTATACCACTCCATGTGGTATAACAAATTGAATTAAAAATTAAAAAATTGTCATTGTCTCTTAGATATTAGGTAATGACCAATGTTATTTTCTACATTGCTTATTTTGCAGGTGTGAAGGGTGATCCTGGACTGATGGGTTTCCCTGGTGAACCTGGACGTGATGGTCTGCCTGGTCTTCAGGGTTTGGCTGGGCTCAAGGGAGAAACTGGTGCAGCTGGCTTCCCTGGTGAAAGTGGTCGTGAAGGCATTAGAGGTAAGTAGTATTAGGTGACTGACCCTAATTCTGAATGATTCCCTGGATATATTGTTAGTGAGGGCATTAAAGATAGGTTACATTAGGTGACCCTAATTCTGGATGCTTGATTCCCTGGACATATTGTTAGTGAGGGCATTAAAGATAGGTTACATTAGGTGACTGACCCTAATTCTGGATGCTTGATTCCCTGGACATATTGTTAGTGAGGGCATTAAAGATAGGTTACATTAGGTGACCCTAATTCTGGATGCTTGATTCCCTGCACATATTGTTAGTGAGGGCATTAAAGATAGGTTACATTAGGTGACCCTAATTCTGGATGCTTGAATCCCTGCACATATTGTTAGTGAGGGCATTAAAGATAGGTTACATTAGGTGACTCTAATTCCGGATGCTTGATTCCCTGGATATATTGTTAGTGAGTCATTAAAGAATGGTTACATTAAGTGACTCTAATTCTTAAGCTTTAAGCTATACAAGATCATAGCTAAATCACAATCTTAGATGCAACAATCCTTAAGCATTAATACATGTGTTACACATTGATGTCTGATGTAACAGGGCTCGATTTAAGAGACGTTAACCTACTTGCACCAGGTGCAACCTAAGATAAAAACCTAGTTGCACCAGCCAAATTCCAGTTGCACTGCCTTTATTGCAATATGTAATGAAAGAAATATGCTATTGAATTATTCAATGTTTAGAAGACAAATGAGCTGACATAATTATGCTTGTAATGTTAGATTTATTGTTGATATATTTCTAAAGAATTGTCTTGCACCTGGTGCAAGTTAGACAAATAACTAGGTTGCACTAAGTTATATTGGGTTGCACCAGTGCAAGTAACAAAGCACTAAATTGAGCCCTGTGTTAGTGTAGGCATTTACTGGCTTTGACAAAAGAGTGACTAATATGTTCAAATGTTGCTGGTATTTGACAGTAGGTGCCTATTTGTTTCAGGATCAAAGGGTAGTGGTGGTCTGCCTGGCCTGCCTGGTCTGAAGGGAGATGCTGGAGAGGCAGCACTACCTGGACTTCCTGGTGACCGAGGCGAAGATGGTCTACCTGGAATACCTGGGGAACGTGGACAGGACGGTAGGCATCGTAACATTAGTTCTGTTATATGCATGCAAATGCCCAACAACTTGCTGCAGCCACAGTCATCTTGGATATAACAAAGTGGGATATAGTACAGTTCTAATTAAGACAATTCTAATTGGAGTGACAATTTTCTTATATGTGAATATAAAACTTTCATTATGAAGGTTCAAGGAAAATGTTGTTGCCCACTCTATTGAGACTGATACAGAGAGACTACTTTGTGCTTGTTTGAAGGTCTGCCTGGTCTGTCTGGAGATAAAGGAAGCCCAGGGGAGCCTGGTGTCGGCCAGCCTGGCAGAGATGGTGAACCTGGAGTGCCAGGACGTGATGGAGAACCTGGACTTCCTGGTCTTGGAGGACCAAAGGGAAATCCTGGGCCTGTAGGATTCCCTGGTCTAAAGGGAGAGAGGGTATGGATGATGACTATATGATATTTGCAGCCTGTATATTCTTTAGGGGTTTATCAATAATCAGTACATCACCAATCTCAACCAAATATTAATGATAGTAGCTTTAACACTGAAATGTCCTTCATTAATTGTGCGTGTACAAATATCTTTTGTGGAAATAGATAGTAGCTTTAACACTGAAATGTCCTTCATTAATTGTGCGTGTACAAATATCTTTTGTGGAAATAGATAGTAGCTTTAACACTGAAATGTCCTTCATTAATTGTGCGTGTACAAATATCTTTTGTGGAAATAGATAGTACCTTTAACACTGAAATGTCCTTCATGAATTGTGCGTGTACAAATATCTTTTGTGGAAATAGATACAAGGAACACAATTCCAGAATGGAAATTTAAATTTCATTTAATTGAAGAACAGTCTAATAGATGATGCATGATTAAAATGGCTCCACAAATAAGTGTTTCCTAATTAGTTTACGGATGTTTTATTGTATTTTGGACATGTGTAGGGACAGCCTGGTCTTGATGGTCGCCCTGGCCAGCCTGGAAGAGATGGTCTGTCTGGAATGAAAGGTACCTGCCATCTACATACTTGCAGATATCATGCAAAAAACTAGTTGCTAGTGTAACACTTCGAGCATAAATCCTTCTCCTGCCATTTTTTTGGCTTTTCTTCCTGGTATTTTGTTTATTGTGACAACTGTCATTTTTACAGGAAACTCTGGCCTTCCTGGCCTGCCTGGTGCTCCTGGTAGCAAGGGAGAGTCTGGTCTGCCTGGCCTACCAGGTACTTCTGGCCTTAAGGGTGATGCAGGTCTGGATGGGCGTCCAGGTCTCCCTGGTTTGTCTGGTCCAAAGGGAGACAGAGGATTCAATGGTCGGGATGGAGAGCCAGGTAAGCACAGTTGCATGGAGACTGACCCTTCAAAGTCATTCAGCTATAGTATACAGTAATCAGAGAGTAACATCTATAGTATGAACCAGCCGGTCAGCATTAAGCAATTTATGAAGCAAGTAAGAATTACTCCTCTATTTCATATTTCACCTCTGTCTGTAACACATGAGCAATATCATCATATGTTCTTTATCCCCTCATATTACATACATGACAGGTAAGGTAGTGGAAGATAAAAGTCTAACTTGTGTGCTTTTTGTAAACTATAGACAGTTACCATGGTTACTTGTTTATGTTTTAGGACTTCCTGGACTTAAGGGAGATGGGGGTGACTCAGGCCTGCCTGGGCTCCCAGGTTTGTCTGGAGCTAAGGGATCACCTGGTCTGTCTGGTCTGCCCGGAGCTCCAGGTATGTAGCTCATGGATAATGTCACAAACAGTAAATTTCTTTGTTTACAAGCGTTAATGTCCCAAAGCCAGTCCTTGTTACTGTAAAAACTATTGGAATACATTTGAGTGACTGTTTGAGTGCCTTTGTATTCCTTACTTTCATTATGTTTGAAATACATTGAAGTGAAACTAAAGTTCTTACCACAAGTATTTGCCATACATTGATTGAGTGAGTGAGTTTAGCTTTACGCCACACTCAACAATATTCCAGCTATATGACAGCGGTCTATAAATAAACGAGTCTGGACCAGACAATCCAGTGATCAACAGCATGAGCATCGATCTGCGCAATTGCGAACCGATGACATATGTCAACCAAGTGCCATACATTGAAGTGAAACTAAAGTAGTTCTTACCACCAGTGGTGCAGTGATATTTCAATCTGTGTTTCTTCTGTGACTAGGAGGGAAGGGTGAGCCTGGGTTCCCAGGTCTTGATGGGCTTCCTGGTCAATCAGGACTACCAGGAGAGAGAGGTATGTTGTACATTTCTAGCTGTGTCCACTCCAACTTCTTTACATAAAATGAATCTGAAATGTAGATAATCTGTATGATATAGATAACTGCACATTGCACTGTATCTATTGACTTTTGTAATCATTTTTTGCAAGTGTAGATTGGGTACCACCTAGGATGACAAAGGGTAGCAGACCTTCACGCTTACCAGTCTTAGTATTCATGAGATATTTCATGCCTACAAGTTATTGGATTTGCTGGTTATATTTAGATTCAAGTCCATTTCAGATGGAAACTTTCATTATACCTCAATTTATGGTTTTGGACTGTTTGAGTGCTTTAACGTTATAATAGTTCAGGGCAAAAGTGTGCTTTATTACACTATACATGGTGGTAGAGTGAACTGTATTTCTTTTCTAAGATGCCAAATTTAATACTTTCTAAGGATAATTACGATTAATCTAAGGAGGAAAACAATCGACAGGGTCGGTGACCTAAATTAAGAATCCTCGCACAGGGCTAACTGGTGCGCTGTTCTATTGATGTGTCTGCCCCCCTACGTTAAGACGAACGTTACCAGAAAAAAACAAAGGATAAACAGTTTGATGACAGTTTACGTTCAGAATAAAATAACTTCTCTAAATTATTCTAACTACATCTGTATTAACGTAAACCATATGGGGCAATATGAACGTCGCATTTCAACTACCAACGTACGTTTAGATCAGTACATCCAGATGGAGCTGAGTAGTCAAGCGACATTCCACGATTGCATTGTGGGAATGTAAACATTGCGAACGTTTCCGTGTCGCTGAAAATTTGTGAGTCGAATTGAGACATTTTAACCATCAGAAAACATAAACGTAATGAAACCACCAGTGATGTTATCTGTGTGAAGCAACTGCAAACCAAGAAACGCGATGCAACGGAGTAGTTTACTGTAGGAGGCTGTACGAGGCAATGACAACTGACATGCATCGTGACGTCCCTTACATTGTGATGTAATGTAACATTGTTCGATTATGAGGGGGCAGACTAGAATGGCGCAGTGACACCAATGCATTGTGACGTAATAGAAAAAAATTCACATTATCGTCTGATAAAGTATTGTTGGCGCCTTTGATCTTTCACCGTAGCATCTTAGAATTGGTGGTATACTTGTTGTGTATACTGTAGGTCTGGATGGCCCTGCCGGTCCCCCTGGTCTGCCTGGTCGCTCCACACAGGGTCTGAAGGGAGAGCCTGGACGTTTAGGCCAGCCTGGTAATGATGGACGTCCAGGACTGAAGGGAGATCCAGGTGAGATTACCTTCCTTAGTGTGTGTATTTTATGAGTGCTTCGTCAACGTTGTTGGAGTACACAGACTGTATTTTATGTTTCTCTCAATGCATGAAGGATGGTTGAATATAATAAAGGTATTTTATTACACAATATAGATATATCTACATCCATTTCGCTGGCACATAAGGCTTATTATCTGCCATATGGTGACAGGATACTAAAACTTCAATCGATGACATTGAAACATAAGAATGAACCCTCTTGTTCTGTTAGCCACACTTTCCAAACAAATACTGTTAGAAAGATCGAAGTATATTCAAAAGACATAACATAACGTATAATAGGGCATTCGTCCCTGAGGATAATATGCCCCACAAGGAAAGAAATTGTGTGGATTAAAAGGGTTTCCTGTACATATTCTATAACTGAAATGTAATTATTGTGTTAATGATACCTATCATATGGAAAGGTACTGTGTGGAATAACAGGGTTACGCAATTCTCCAGACTTATGCAAGGAAATCAAAAATATGCCAATGGACCCAGTTATCATCTTGTTACTGAGAATGCCATCCAGCTATCAGGCTTGAAGGATTACATGATGGTGATGTAGTAGTACATGTTCTTACCTGTGGGGATGTTGCAGGTATGCCTGGACTTGATGGCCTGCCTGGTGTAAAGGGTGAACCTGGACAATCCTCTGATGGTCGTCCTGGACTTAAGGGAGAGCCTGGACTTCCTGGACGAGCTGGTCAGTTTTAGTTAAATTATGATGTTTAAAGAAGTACTATGACTAATTTCAGAGTTTGACAATGTGTGGGTGTCATTATTAACCTTGGTGAAAACGAGACATTATCAAGGTGTCATTAGTAACATTGTGGTGTCTTTCATGACTGTGTAAAACTGAGACATCGTCAAGATGTTACCTGTATGAAACTGAGACATCGTCAAGATGTTACCTGTATGAAACTGAGACATTGTCAAGATGTCACCAGTAACCTGTATGAAACTGAGACATTGTCAAGATGTCACCAGTAACCTCTATGAAACCGATACATCGTCAAGATGTCACCAGTAACCTGTATGAAACTGAGACATTGTCATGGTGTCTTCAGTGACTGTAGACATGTTGGATGACAGTGTCCTAGAAAGTGTTCTGTTTTGTGTTACGAAAGATGCTTGTCTGAAAGTTGTCATTTCAGTTATAGAGGATACTAAACAACCTTCCGTGTAATACCATTTTTATCAAACGAGTTAATGATTTGGTATCAAATGAGCGAAAGCATGAGTGAAAGCAAGTTTGATACTAAATCTTTCACGAGTTTAATAAAAATGGTATTTCACGGAAGCGATTTTAGTATTAGTTTATTACTCTCCAACATAAATTGAGAGAAACTGCCTACTAACAGTGTGATGACTTTCAGCTTTCCGCGAGTCAAGCACGGTCTAATACCATTGCGACAGTGGCATTAGCATTGTGACGTCAGAACTGTGACATCATATGTCTCCCGGTATTACACTAGTGTCATATTGCCGTATCTTTCACGGGCGAGCAATAACAAGAGATATTACATGATGACTTATGGCTGCTTGCTACTGTGTCCCCAGGTCTGCCCGGAGAGAGTGGACAGCGTGGTAACGATGGCCTGCCTGGTTTACCTGGTCTTAAGGGTGACCGCGGACAGAACGGATTCCCCGGAGAGCAAGGACGCGATGGCCTTCCTGGTCTAAGTGGATCCAAGGGTGAGTTTCTTTAGGGCTTTGTTTTTTTATAAACGAGTATCAATTTTGCACTTTTTGTGTTTTCAACATCTGTATGGCATGCTTGGATTTATTTCAAAAATTTGAACCATTGACATGTATGTTTTTGTCCAACACATGTTTCAAAGTACCTAGTAGGTTGGAATGATAACTGTACTTGATACGTGATTTAACAAAAAATCTGCAGCAGATCATGATCATTTATGGTTTCACATATTTGCCTTATGTTAGTATGCTAAATACTAATTGTTGATATACTATGAAACCAAATTGCAAGCCTTGATTGTGAGGGATATTGTATAAGACAAACGTAACCATATTGAATCTTTCTGAATTACCTTTAATGCAGGTAACTCTGGCTTGCCTGGACTCCCCTGGTATCTCTGGTGGGAAGGGAGATAGTGGTCTTCCTGGTCTTCCTGGAATCCTGGGACCAAAGGGAGAAGCTGGTCTACCTGGTCTGTCTGGTCGGGATGGAACACCAGGTTAGTTACTACACGCTGCTTCGGTTCTCTTCATGCACAGTCTCCGCTCACTTCTTGATTGAAGATTTATGTTATCACTGAGCCAAGTTGTTTAGTCACTGGAGGTGAAACCATTCTGTTGACATATTTTATACATTAAATGTAATTTATGTAAATAAAATCTTGTTATTGAATTGTGTTGAATGTCAACTGTTAACTTAGCTTACTTTGACTGGTTGATTCATGGACTGTTCTCTTGTAGGTCAACCTGGTGCCTTTGGTTTGAAGGGAGAGCCTGGTTTGCCCGGTGTTGTGAATTACGAACAACTTCCTAAAGGAGATCGAGGATTCAAGGGAGACCCTGGTCTGAATGGTCTGCCAGGTCTCTCTGGATCCAAGGGAGAATCAGGACGCCCTGGTAAGTGAGACCACTCTTTTAAATGCCATAGTTAGATACACAGTTAATTATAATCTTTGTGGACATTATACTGGCTTGATTGCTGGCAATATAAGACCATATTATCAAGTGATCGGACTGAGTAACAAGTCATGGTAACCATCAATGCTCATAGCGTCAATCACGTGAATGTCTTGTCTAGATCTAGTATTTAAGACACAGGTGCATACTTGGTTATATATAGGTGGTTGTCTATTTCCAAGTGCAACATTAACACAATAAACAAACAGATACTTATGTGTGTTTTTCCTTCTTTTTTTTCCCCGTTTTTTACGAGATGTTTATTTGTCAGTGATGTGTACAGTTGAGAAGAACAATGTTTAAACGTATTCTCATTCTGTTTCCTTCCTCCGTGAGAACACAGATGTAAGTTTTCTGATGCATACAAAGCAGCATGGCACACCATGAGAACACAAAATGCAGGAAGAGGTTACACGTGACAATTCTTTCCATTTATAATGACCTGATTTTCAGGATCTCCTGGTATCCCCGGTGAGCCTGGTCCAAGTGGTCTGCCAGGATTCAAGGGAGAGCGTGGTACCCAAGGTCTACGAGGTCTCGACGGTCTGCCTGGAACTGCAGGAACACCAGGTAATAATGATTACTGTTGCTAGTATTAGAAATAGTTTGGGATGTTGGATAGCTGTGATATTTTGGACAGTTGGATGTCCTAGTGATTAGAGCCTTCTGTCATCTCACGTATGCCATGTAATCATAAGTAGGGATGCGAATTTTCCGCGGATCTGCGGAATTCCAGGAATTTCATAAGGCCAAGGGTAATTTTTGTGAATCGTCTAAAGCCTGCGGCCCCCAGACCCCCGGCTAGTTTTCAGAGTTTTTCTCCAAACTTCATTCTCATCCCTGCATAATTACTGTTGCTAGTATCACAAACATTTCGAGTGAGGGGTTGTATTGCAAGTAGCAGCATAAAGCACACTTACTAAAAATAGTTCACGGGAATCACTGCATTCAAGTCAAAGCAAAACTAAAATTTATAGGGAAAGCTGGTTCTGTTTTGTTGGGGTGTCACAAACTTTTTTCATTCTGTAAAGTAAATGTCTGTTTTGACAAGTGATACAGGACTAAAACATACAATGGTACATATTTCTTGTGTGGTATCAGTCATTATTGTAAACTTGTACTCTCTTGTGTAAAGGTCAGCGTGGTCCATCTGGTTTGCCTGGTGACCGTGGTCTACCTGGACGTTCCCCACCCACTGGCTTCCTCCTTGTGCGGCACTCCCAGTCTCAGCAAGTACCCAGCTGCCCCAGGGGTCAAGCCCAGATGTGGGATGGTTACAGCTTGCTCTATATTGAAGGAAATGAAAAGTCACACCACCAGGACCTAGGTGAGACAGGCTGACATATGGCACAGGATTCATGTTTAATCTGTTGGGAAGAAAGGGTCATGTGATGTAAAGATGACTTGTTGGTTACAGTGTTGTGATGCGGAGATAATACTATCATATCAGCTGCGTTATGTAGTGTATAAAGATATACCTTATTTTAAAGGAAGTAGGAGTGGGGGTGTGCCGACATGGGATTCCTTGAAAAATGTTATTGAATATTATTCAGTGAGTGAATATAGTTTTATGCCGCACTCCGCAATATCCCGGTTATATGGTGGCAGTCTGTAAATAATCGAGTCTGGACCAGACAATCCAGTGATCAACAGCATGAGGATCAATCTACGCAATTGGGATACGATGACATGTGTCAAGAAAGTCAGCGATTCTGACCACCCGACCCTGTTAATTGCCTCTTATGACAAGCATGGGTTACTGAAGATCAATTCTAACCTGGATCTTCACGGGTTGAATATGATTCAAAATAGAGTGTTCTCATCAGTTGGGATGAAAACTGTTCTTGATAAATTCCATGTCAAAAGTGAAAAAATATGGTATTTAGCATGAAGACATGAATATCCTGTCCATTGTATACTCCCTTTGGTTAATATTTTATACATTAATTGTAAGAGGACTTCACTAGCTAAATGAGCAATTACTTTTGGTTTCATATTTCCATGAATAGAGTAATTAAGTCATGGCCACAAACAATGTAAAAAATATTGACTGGTTAATAACAGAATATACCTTTGTGTAAGTACTGTGTCAAACACCCTCATTAATGTTATATCATTTATGTGTTACTGTACTACATTTTTATAGACAATATATTTCATGAGTGAAAGAAAAGTTTGATGGTTTAGTTTTGGATTATATTCTCACTGCTTTCTTGGATTTCAGGATGGGCCGGATCCTGCATGCCACGTTTCAGCACCATGCCTTTCTTGTTCTGTAACGTGGACAATGTTTGCAACTACGCCAGCAGAAATGACAGGTCCTACTGGCTTTCAACAACTGCTCCTATTCCCATGATGCCTGTAGCTGAGGGAGAAATCCGTCCATATATCAGTCGCTGTGTTGTATGCGATGCTCCTGCTAATGTGATTGCTGTCCACAGTCAAACACTGCAGATACCAGATTGTCCCAATGGTTGGAACGGACTCTGGATAGGATACAGTTTTGCTATGGTAAGTTTGTTTAGATAGGAATATTTCTAACTTAGGTTTCTAACTTCTAAAAGTTTGTGAACTCTTATTTACAGTTAAAAAAACATGCATCAGGGGACAGATCCACAAAGCGTTTGTAGCAATAGTTATTCCCAATCCTATGATGAATTATATAGTTGCGATAGCTTGTAATCTTAGTTTTGTATGAATTTGTGAGGAGGTTGATCACTGACACAATGTATATCTGTGTCAAGTATTAAGACAATTTGTGAGGAGGTTGATCAGTGACAAAATGTATATCTGTGTCAAGTATTAAGACAATTTGTGAGGAGGTTGATCACTGACACAATGTATATCTCTGTCTAGTATTAAGACAATTTGTGAGGAGGTTGATCACCACAATGTATATCTGTGTCAAGTATTAAGACAATTTGTGAGGAGGTTTATCATTGACACAATGTATATGTGTCAAGAATTAAGACAATTTATAGGTAGGTTTATCACTGACACAATGTACATCTGTGTCAAGTATTAAGACAATTTGTGAGGAGGTAGATCACTGACACAATGTATATCTGTGTCAAGTATTCAGACAATGTAGGGAGGTTGATTACTGACACAATGTATATCTGTGTCCAGTATTCAGACAATGTTGGGAGGTTGATCACTGACACAATGTACATCTGTGTGAAGTATTAAGACAATGTAGGGAGGTTGATCACTGACACAATGTACATCTGTGTCAAGTATTAAGACAATTTGTAGGGAGGTTGATTACTGACACAATGTATATCTTTGTCAAGTATTCAGACAATGTAGGGAGGTTGATTACTGACACAATGTATATCTGTGTCCAGTATTCAGACAATGTAGGGAGGTTGATCACTGACACAATGTACATCTGTGTGAAGTATTAAGACAATGTAGGGAGGTTGATCACTGACACAATGTATATCTGTGTGAAGTATTCAGACAATGTAGGGAGGTTGATTACTGACACAATGTATATCTCTCCTTCCAGCATACAGCAGCAGGCCCTGGTGGTGGCGGCCAATCTCTCTCCAGCCCTGGCAGTTGTCTTGAAGACTTCCGAGCCACTCCATTCATTGAATGTAATGGTGCTCGTGGCACATGTCATTACTTTGCTAATAAATACAGCTTCTGGCTCACTACTATAGAATTAAATGAACAATTTAGTTCACCACGTTCACAAACACTTAAAGCAGGAAACCTCCGGACTAGAGTTAGTAGATGTCAAGTTTGCATCAAAAATGTGTGAGATGGTCATAATTTGGTCTCTTGTTCATAGTATTGTAAAACTTGTAGGCGATATTGATGAGGTAAGAAAAGGGAAATTTTGTCTTTTGTCCTAAAGGCAGGAAAAATGTGATGTTTTTGTTTGTACTATTATGGAAGTCAATTTTGATGTCTATAATTTTATAACTGACTACCAGGGCAAGCCAACTCGTGCCTTATAACTGATTCAATGGTGCTATGTTTTCTGCGAAGACGTGAGAGTTTCATGCTCAAGTTTACTCTATTTTCTATTATCGCATAAGAAACCTATTTACGTCCGGGATCGCCAAAATAACTCTTTACTTGACAAGGCACAAACTTAGTGTGGACGAGAGATTGGACAGGAAAGCAGTGCAAAGCACCTAAGGATCAGAAAATCATTAAATGAACAATAACAAAATTGCTGATGCTCAAACTATCTAAAGGTACAAAAGTGGTTGGTCAGAAAAATAGCAATACCAATGTGCTTTGTCAAGTAAAGAGTTCCTATGATCCCAGCAACTGTGATTATAAAATATGTCACTGCCATCAATCATGTATTTCTGGATTGTAGTTCCTTTGTTTGCAGCATTCTTGTGATGTATTGTCAATACAGCCAAATAATAGTTATGTATTTTATACCCTTCTTATGCCTTTTGAAATGAATTCTGGCCAAACTGTTAAAAGTGTTTTCGTCAATGGTTTTCATTTTCTGAACAGTTATAACAGAAATCTAAAGTCCTCGTGAAAATGAGTTTTGTTAGTAACACAGGATCTCAAAATTCCATCCGACTGGTTTCTGTTCACCTCAGAAGCATTCTTCTAGCATAGAATACTCATGTATATAGATGACGTTTGTATGCTGGTCTTGTATGGTCGTTTCTATTGTATAGTACAGATTGACACTCTGGTCTCTTTCTCTCCTAGTCATAGTGTTTCGTAAGTGCCAAATTTCTACCATCACAACCTCTCTGCTCTAGTAGTTCTTCTAGAGGTAATAGGCATAATGTGCAATGTTCTGAAATCAACAATTGATGAATATATGAACAAACATTTAATAAGAACAATAAAGTCTTTTACACAAATACTGCTTGGTGTTCATTTCACTGGTATGCTGAGTAGATGTAAAACGGCCTTCACACGGCAAACTAAAGTTTGACAACACGTTGTCAGTTCAGTGGGTATGTTTTACTGGGGCTACAGATACAACATCCACCTTTCAGTGGGTATGTTTTACTGGGACTACTGATACATCATCCACCTTTCAGTGGGTATGTTTTACTGGGACTATAGATACGACATCCACCTTTCAGTGGGAATGTTTTACTGGGTCTACAGATACATCATCCACCTTTCAGTGGGTATGTTTTACTGGGACTATAGATACGACATCCACCTTTCAGTGGGAATGTTTTACTGGGTCTACAGATACATCATCCACCTTTCAGTGGGTATGTTTTACTGGGACTACTGATACATCATCCACCTTTCAGTGGGTATGTTTTACTGGGACTATAGATACGACATCCACCTTTCAGTGGGAATGTTTTACTGGGTCTACAGATACATCATCCACCTTTCAGTGGGTATGTTTTACTGGGACTACAGATACGACATCCACCTTTCAGTGGGAATGTTTTACTGGGTCTATAGATACATCATCCACCTTTCAGTGGGAATGTTTTACTGGGGCTACAGATACATCATCCACCTTTCAGTGAGTATGTTTTACTGGGACTACAGATACGACATCCACCTTTCAGTGGGAATGTTTTACTGGGTCTATAGATACATCATCCACCTTTCAGTGGGAATGTTTTACTGGGGCTACAGATACATCATCCACCTTTCAGTGAGTATGTTTTACTGGGACTACAGATACGACATCCACCTTTCAGTGGGAATGTTTTACTGGGACTACAGATACGACATCCACCTTTCAGTGGGTATGTTTTACTGGGACTACAGATACATCATCCACCTTTCAGTGGGAATGTTTTACTGGGACTACAGATACATCATCCACCTTTCAGTGGGTATGTTTTACTGGGACTACTGATACATCATCCACCTTTCAGTGGGAATGTTTTACTGGGACTACAGATACATCATCCACCTTTCAGTAGGTATGTTTTACTGGGACTATAGATACGACATCCACCTTTCAGTGGGTATGTTTTACTGGGACTACAGATACGACATCCACCTTTCAGTGGGTATGTTTTACTGGGACTACTGATACATCATCCACCTTTCAGTGGGAATGTTTTACTGGGACTATAGATACATCATCCACCTTTCAGTGGGTATGTTTTACTGGGACTATAGATACGACATCCACCTTTCAGTGGGTATGTTTTACTGGGACTACAGATACGACATCCACCTTTCAGTGGGTATGTTTTACTGGGACTACAGATACATCATCCACCTTTCAGTGGGAATGTTTTACTGGGACTACTGATACATCATCCACCTTTCAGTGGGTATGTTTTACTGGGACTATAGATACGACATCCACCTTTCAGTGGGTATGTTTTACTGGGACTACAGATACGACATCCACCTTTCAGTGGGTATGTTTTACTGGGACTACTGATACATCATCCACCTTTCAGTGGGAATGTTTTACTGGGACTACAGATACATCATCCACCTTTCAGTGGGTATGTTTTACTGGGACTACAGATACGACATCCACCTTTCAGTGGGAATGTTTTACTGGGACTACAGATACGACATCCACCTTTCAGTGGGTATGTTTTACTGGGACTACAGATACATCATCCACCTTTCAGTGGGAATGTTTTACTGGGACTACAGATACATCATCCACCTTTCAGTGGGTATGTTTTACTGGGACTACTGATACATCATCCACCTTTCAGTGGGAATGTTTTACTGGGACTACAGATACATCATCCACCTTTCAGTAGGTATGTTTTACTGGGACTATAGATACGACATCCACCTTTCAGTGGGTATGTTTTACTGGGACTACAGATACGACATCCACCTTTCAGTGGGTATGTTTTACTGGGACTACTGATACATCATCCACCTTTCAGTGGGAATGTTTTACTGGGACTATAGATACATCATCCACCTTTCAGTGGGTATGTTTTACTGGGACTATAGATACGACATCCACCTTTCAGTGGGTATGTTTTACTGGGACTACAGATACGACATCCACCTTTCAGTGGGTATGTTTTACTGGGACTACAGATACATCATCCACCTTTCAGTGGGAATGTTTTACTGGGACTACTGATACATCATCCACCTTTCAGTGGGTGGGTATGTCTTTTACTGGGACTATAGATACGACATCCACCTTTCAGTGGGTATGTTTTACTGGGACTACAGATACGACATCCACCTTTCAGTGGGTATGTTTTACTGGGACTACTGATACATCATCCACCTTTCAGTGGGAATGTTTTACTGGGACTACAGATACGACATCCACCTTTCAGTGGGTATGTTTTACTGGGACTATAGATACAACATCCACCTTTCAGTGGGAATGTTTTACTGGGACTACTGATACATCATCCACCTTTCAGTGGGTATGTTTTACTGGGACTATAGATACGACATCCACCTTTCAGTGGGAATGTTTTACTGGGACTACAGATACATCATGCACCTTTCAGTAGGTATGTTTTACTGGGACTATAGATACGACATCCACCTTTCAGTGGGAATGTCTTACTGGGACTATAGATACGACATCCACCTTTCAGTGGGAATGTCTTACTGGGACTATAGATACATCATCCACCTTTCAGTGGGAATGTTTTACTGGGACTACTGATACATCATCCACCTTTCAGTGGGTATGTTTTACTGGGACTATAGATACATCATCCACCTTTCAGTGGGAATGTTTTACTGGGACTACAGATACATCATCCACCTTTCAGTGGGAATGTTTTACTGGGACTACAGATACATCATCCACCTTTCAGTGGGTATGTTTTACTGGGACTATAGATACGACATCCACCTTTCAGTGGGAATGTTTTACTGGGACTACAGATACGACATCCACCTTTCAGTGGGAATGTTTTACTGGGACTACTGATACATCATCCACCTTTCAGTGGGTATGTTTTACTGGGACTACTGATACATCATCCACCTTTCAGTGGGTATGTTTTACTGGGACTATAGATACGACATCCACCTTTCAGTGGGAATGTTTTACTGGGGCTACAGATACATCATCCACCTTTCAGTGGGTATGTTTTACTGGGACTACAGATACGACATCCACCTTTCAGTGGGAATGTTTTACTGGGTCTACAGATACATCATCCACCTTTCAGTGGGAATGTTTTACTGGGACTACTGATACATCATCCACCTTTCAGTGGGTATGTTTTACTGGGACTACAGATACATCATCCACCTTTCAGTGGGTATGTTTTACTGGGACTATAGATACGACATCCACCTTTCAGTGGGAATGTTTTACTGGGGCTACAGATACATCATCCACCTTTCAGTGGGTATGTTTTACTGGGACTATAGATACGACATCCACCTTTCAGTGGGAATGTTTTACTGGGACTACTGATACATCATCCACCTTTCAGTGGGTATGTTTTACTGGGACTATAGATACGACATCCACCTTTCAGTGGGAATGTTTTACTGGGACTACAGATACGACATCCACCTTTCAGTGGGTATGTTTTACTGGGACTACAGATACATCATCCACCTTTCAGTGGGTATGTTTTACTGGGACTATAGATACGACATCCACCTTTCAGTGGGAATGTTTTACTGGGACTACTGATACATCATCCACCTTTCAGTGGGTATGTTTTACTGGGACTATAGATACGACATCCACCTTTCAGTGGGAATGTTTTACTGGGACTATAGATACGACATCCACCTTTCAGTGGGAATGTCTTACTGGGACTATAGATACATCATCCACCTTTCAGTGGGAATGTTTTACTGGGACTACAGATACATCATCCACCTTTCAGTGGGTATGTTTTACTGGGACTATAGATACATCATCCACCTTTCAGTGGGAATGTTTTACTGGGACTACTGATACATCATCCACCTTTCAGTGGGTATGTTTTACTGGGACTATAGATACGACATCCACCTTTCAGTGGGAATGTTTTACTGGGACTACAGATACATCATCCACCTTTCAGTGGGTATGTTTTACTGGGACTATAGATACGACATCCACCTTTCAGTGGGAATGTTTTACTGGGACTACAGATACGACATCCACCTTTCAGTGGGAATGTTTTACTGGGACTACTGATACATCATCCACCTTTCAGTGGGTATGTTTTACTGGGACTACAGATACATCATCCACCTTTCAGTGGGTATGTTTTACTGGGACTATAGATACGACATCCACCTTTCAGTGGGAATGTTTTACTGGGGCTACAGATACATCATCCACCTTTCAGTGGGTATGTTTTACTGGGACTACAGATACATCATCCACCTTTCAGTGGGAATGTTTTACTGGGTCTACAGATACATCATCCACCTTTCAGTGGGAATGTTTTACTGGGACTACAGATACATCATCCACCTTTCAGTGGGTATGTTTTACTGGGTCTACAGATACATCATCCACCTTTCAGTGGGTATGTTTTACTGGGTCTACAGATACATCATCCACCTTTCAGTGGGTATGTTTTACTGGGACTATAGATACGACATCCACCTTTCAGTGGGAATGTTTTACTGGGTCTACAGATACATCATCCACCTTTCAGTGGGTATGTTTTACTGGGGCTACAGATACATCATCCACCTTTCAGTGGGTATGTTTTACTGGGTCTACAGATACATCATCCACCTTTCAGTGGGAATGTTTTACTGGGTCTACAGATACATCATCCACCTTTCAGTGGGTATGTTTTACTGGGACTATAGATACGACATCCACCTTTCAGTGGGAATGTTTTACTGGGTCTACAGATACATCATCCACCTTTCAGTGGGTATGTTTTACTGGGACTATAGATACATCATCCACCTTTCAGTGGGTATGTTTTACTGGGTCTACAGATACATCATCCACCTT